CTATGAACTGAGAAAAGTGCCCCGCCTGGACTAGCTCCTTCAAATGTTGTTTTAGTGATTGACAATTCTAGGTCATGTGCCCCACATCCCGATGATAGGAACATCTGCAATTGACGTTTCTCTTGGAAGGATCACCAGTTAGCTTATTAGGCCATTTGAAATATGGCTTTCTCTTAATCTGGAACAAAATCTTATATATTGGCTCCTTGAACACCGTGTTTACCCCAACAAATGGGGATTTCGAGGGAAATCCCTCCTTATCTCTCTTCTTGCCGACATCTCTGTTTGGTTCAACTAGTTTATCTCTGCCGAATAGATTCCTTCCAAATTGTTCCTTTCCCAAGTCTCTTGACAGGTCGTCTTCGAGTTTGACATACTTTTCTATTTTGGCCATTAGTTCTTCCATGTCTACGGCAGGTTTTCTAGTTAGAGATTGATATAATGGGTTTTTCTTTGGCAACCTTATTTTGAAGGATGCCACGACAATCTCTGGATTGCAGGCTTCGACTTCGTTCATCATTTCCCAATAACGATGAGCATATTCTCGCAAGGTCTCATTATTCTTCTTCTTCAATATCAACAACGCCCCAATGTCTTTGGGTTGTCTGCTGCTTGTTATGAACCGAGCCATAAATTGCTCGACAAGCTATGCCCAACCATAGACCAAGCCTCTCAACAGACTGTCAAACCATTTCAGGGCTGACTCCCCGAGACTGCTAGAAAAAATGGTACAGGGCAGAGGTTCATTCTTTCGATAGATGGTCATGAATTGCCGGTAATATCGAATGTGTGAAGTCAAATTTGTATTGTCGTCATATAGCTTGAAGCTCGGGACTGTGAATTTACTCAAGATTCATCCCCATTCGATCCATCTCGTGAAGGGGGAGGTCTCTATACTGTCACCGTATTCTCCTGTAGCCTTTCTGACTAGGTCCTTAGCTGATTTTTGCTCAGGACTTCTTAATCGGCTATTGAGCTCCTCGGTTATGAATTGCTTCCAAGATTCCTCATCTCGGCTTCGACGTCTTTTTTGCCTACACTCTTCTTCAATGATATTTTCTCTTTCACTTCGCTTTTTCTTGGGACTTTCTTGTTGGTCTTCTACGCTACGTCTCTCTTTCTTGTCCATTTTCCTTAGTCTATTTTTCAATTCCTCATTTTCCTTCCTCAAATCTCTCTCTCTGTGGCATAATATTTCTTGAACATTTTGTCATGCGCGTCCAGTCGGTCCTGCAAGGACTGAACTAGTTTCATCAAGGCAGGGTTCTGCCCCTCGGTACAGAGGAATTTGCCCCGGTTGGCATCTCGTTGGCTTTGGTGCTTATAGGGCTTGAAACTTGCTAACGACAACTCGTCATCCTCTCATGGATTGTCTGGGCTCTTGCCCATATTCATCCTGATGTCGCTATTGAATGAGAATGATACTTTGTAATTTGGGTCAGAATCTCACGGGGCGATACTATCTACAGGTGACCCGATAGCACTCTTTAGTCCCAACATTGGCTTTTTGTTCAACTTGACAAATGTTCCCACAGACGGCACCAAATGTAAAAGGCGAAAATGGATTTACCTCTTACAGGAGTGAATAAAGATTGCCTCTCACGTGAACAAGTTTTGAACTCAATCTCCAAGATTTTCTCTGCAAAACAAACAAACTACCCAAGATCAAAGTGCTTCGATCGAAGGCACTTTCCCTGCCAGAGTTTCCACAATTTTCGATTCAAAGTGACACACCTTCCCTTAACCAGGGAATTTTGTTAGAAACTGCTAAAATCTCTCCAGCAGTTTCCTCTACTAAATCAATGATCATGCACATTCATTTTACCAGAATGCCTGAATTATAGGCGTCTCTTTAGCACCACGTTGTTATTCTGAATAGCTCAACCTAGCCAAAGCCGAGCTCACTCCTTTACTACCGAGTTGTTTGAACAATTCGATCATGACGGTGTCTAATGTTCTCTTCAAGTGCCTTATTTTTCTTTCATCACGTGAGGGCATTAAATCCCCCCCTCCACGTGTTAGCAAGAGTACAACGCCTCTTCAAAAACCATAACGAGCACGTTCATCATAATTTGTAGTTTCAACTCCATATTAGGATCACTATCAATATCGTCACCATCATTTAATAGTGTCATTATCGTCAATATCAACATCTTCAATAAGAAAACCTATTTGGATAGACTACTCTTTAGATTTTCCCATTACTATATTCTTGGATTTATACTGTGGATGATGTGAATTTCAAGGCGTAGATTTACAAAAACCATAGGCACTCAATCAAAGCTATTCTACAGAGAAAAAAGAAACATAGTCATTCAAATTTGACAACTGTAATCAGGCTTTTTTCATTAATAATATGCGCACTACCTTTGTTAATGTTAGGTACACGAGCCCAAAGAAATATAGTGTTGTTTTATGGGTTCGACTACGGTAATGAAAGTAAAATTACTATACTATTTATTATATTTATAGGTATTTATATTATTTTTTAAGTATAATTTATTAATTGTTGAGGTACATTTACTTTTGTATTCACTTGTCGCTTTCTAAGTTTACTCACCAACTTTTTAGATAAAAAAATATTACTTTTTGCGGGGGGAGGGGGGTAAAACTTGCCGTCTTTTAGAGTTTTTAAAAATTTTCAGTATAGTAATGAAAAATGAAAATCCACATCATAGTATAGTATGATTTTTTTTTTTTTTTTTTACTATTGGAGTGATGATGATTGATTCTTAGAACGAAAAATGCTCAAATGATCAAAAATTAAAATCAAATGATGGGATAAACCCACACAATCAATGAGAATAATTGGGCCACCTCTTTGTTGGGTGAGAGACTGCCAAATCACATCAAATTTAGCCTTCAAACTTGATCGAAGTAGCAAGTATTGTATGAGAAATAGGTATGAAAAGTCAAGGACTCTTATCAAGCTTTGATAAAACCCCAAGGCTGCTTGGTCGAGAGAGATACAAAGTAAACAAGATTGGTGATCCCCCAACCAGAAAGACTAAGGTCTCAATAATTATTTTTTTAATACCACACTAATGATTTATTATAAAATAAGTGTGATATTATGACTCAATTCCATAAAATTATAACAAAATTGAATTGTTTAAAATCAAACTTATTTTTTAAATATATTGCGATGTGTCGCTCGAGCCTTTTGTTATACCAATGTTTTATCGTTTAAGGAAAAAAGTAATAATTTTTCAATATGGAGTTTTATTTCGTTGTTACAGCAGGTTGAGAGCAGTGTCTGCCTCCCTTGTGTTTGGGGGAGTCGGACAGTCATTCCATTCGATAATTAAAACTCAAGGCAAATAAGTTTTAATCTGAACTATTTGACAAATTCCATGAATTTGTACTCTATCAAGAATCATATTTCTGTTCGACCATAATTACTATTGCAATAGCGATAATTTAATCTTTTAAAATAGTATTTGATTCAAATCAAATTATTAATAACTCGTATTTGATAATTGTTTGTTATATCCAACTCCGGAATGGTTAAAATTATAATTATTTTAGATAATTTATGATCGATCAAGAATTATTTCAATCAATTTTAATTTTTTTACAAGTTGTAACTTGATCTTTAAAGCTATTAATTTGAATTTTAAAATTATAATTTTGATGATCACTCACAACATTTTATAATCAATTACTCTTTTAATAATGTAATCTTCGGAGAGACAAAAGAATAATATTATTGAAACATTATTTAGGGACATATTATATTATCATCATTTGACTGATAATAAATTGTATTTAATGCTAAGCCCCCACAAATAATTCGATAATTATAATTATTAAATTTTTAAATTATGTACCAATAAAATTAATTTTTATAAAATAATTTTTGAAATCATGGTGGACCAAATCGAGGATGAGCAATGTTATACGAATCTAAGAGAAATTTAAAGGCTTATGTGACATTTTGACATATAGAATTTGACATTTTTAATTTATTAGTACTCCAATTGATATTTTAAAATAATTTATTTTATTTCATATTTATCTTTATCTTTGACTACATCAATAGAATAAGAGCAATGTTATTGAGACTTAATTTGCTGACCTAATTTTATGTGACTTTTAGATTGATTGTATTCCCTATCAAACATTAGAACTTGGTGTTGATCAAATAATTCCTATTAAACCATATTATTATGTCAACAAATTAAATCAGATTTTTAATTCTAAATATTATTACTCATAGGATAAATGAATAATGCTTAATAAAAAATTTATATACTAAAATTGATATGTCAAATTTGGCAAAATGCCAAATTTAATTTTGCCAACTAGACATTTGTGATGCCGTTTGGAGAGGAAGCAACTACCAAATGTTGCCGTTGAGAATTCCTAGTGTCATTTGAGCAAGAATCAAAATTTTATTTTGATGAATAATTTTGGTAATGCTAAAAATAAAAATATTTTGAAAATATTTTGAAAACAAGATAAAAACAAAGAATAATTTAAAATTTTATTTCTTAAATATTAATTTAAATATGTCGAAATATAAGTCGAAACATGCTGAAATATTTTAAAACGTCTCGAAACACTTCGAAACATAAAAATTTTAATATTTAATCAATTATTTGTTTTGATTTCTATAGAAACGGAAATAGAAACGTTTTGGTCATTTCAAAATAAATTTAATCTCTTGCATTTAAGATGCCATTGAAGTTGTTCTAAGAACCTTATTTAACACAATCGTTTAATTAATTATAAATTTTAATATTAAATAGACTTATTTTTAATTCAACGATTATATTGAATTAGAATTTAGATTAGCTCCGCTCCAAATAACAATTTCCAACGTGTAACTTTTCCTTTTGTGTCCGCAGCCAGAAATTACAACCGAATACAAGCAGCATACTTGTCTCTATACTCCACATAGTAATCGTGGGGTCCACTGCCGAAGTAGAAAGCGGTCGAGGTTCATGCACTTTGCCCAGTTTCTTCCTCCTCCTTTCTATAGATCTCTTTCTCTCTCGCATGAAGTTATTTTAATAATAAAAGAAATAATAATAAAACATGTATGGTGTCCAAATTGATCAGCGCATATGCCGTTTCAAATTCTCCTTTCCTCCTTTTCTTCTTCACAGTATGCAAAACAAAGGTGCTTGCAAATCATCTTCACCAACTCGTTCATCATCAACTCTCACAGGTTCATATCAATAATATTCGCAAATGCATTTACTTTCTGTCGCAGATCTTTATTTTTTGTTGGCTTCTGCACCTGGGTTTTGGGTTTTATTTGAATAATTTTAGAGTAAAATCGTCAAGACGCCATTTTTGGTCTGCTTGGTTCCCGAGAAAATGGTGGAAGTGAAAGTAAAATGAAATCCTAAGTAAGTTTCTTTTTTTTTTCCCCTGGGTTTTGAGCAATTGTTGTAGGTATTGTATTGGTTTTACGCATTTCCCATTTCACTGTATTTTCTTTTGTTCGTGCGAGATTACTGGGTTTGGAATTTCCTTTTTCGTTTCTTTTACCTTTGGTTTTCTCGGGAACCAAACAGATTACTCTGTTAATGCGAAATGATTTAGGGTTTATTTTGGTTAAGATCATAGTGAAGATTGCATGAATGAATGGTTGCTTAGAGATATTGATTGTCTTTATATGTAAATTGACTATGGGTAACCTTGGCATGAAGACATGGTGGACTTATTAAAACCTAACCTGCCCTGTTTTATATTATAGAACTTTGTGTTACTTTTGCAGTAATTTTTAATGAGGAAGATCCTGTCAAGGGTTTTGGTGTCTCATCTCTAGGGACATCAGGGTTCTGTTTGTTTGTAAAGTCATATAAGACAAAACTAAAGAAAAATGTTTGGCTATTATGGAAACAGGTTGTATTCTCAAGTATTTTCTACCATTTCACTAACTTTTCTCACAACCAAAAGGGAAGTTATGGTAGAAATTGAGCTCTCTCAACTCCCATCTATTAGCCAAATGTCTATATTTGTCATGATACTGCTTTCACATGATAAGCGATGTCATAGTGACACTATAATGCCATAAAACAGTTTCAATTTTCGAGTGTGAGTGCGGTGTTTAGTGAATTTAATATGACTTAGCTAAAAGGTAAAATTTACCTTTTCTGTTTTGGATTCATGAATATGAATACTGTAGTGAAAATATTTAGGAGAGTACACATTGTGGCTGTTCTTGATTCTGTTTTTCTTTTTTGGGAATCTACTGTTCGAGTCTAAGAGGGCCTCCAAGATTATTTCACTTTCTCTTTTAAGTAGTAACTTTTATCCAGATAAAAGTATTATGACAAAGTAACAAATGGATGGATCGAGGGTAGAGGTGGTACAAAGTGAGGAACAGACTTTGGATAGCTTCTTAAAGTGGCTTGTCCATCCATTTTTGTAGACAATTGACATAAGCATATGAATACCAAAATGCAAATTCTTTGAACATTGAATCTCATTCTGAACTACAACAGTCCTAGGTCTCTTACTATGGAATCATGGGTGGGTTGGTAATAAGATGAAAAGGAGATGAACATGAAAGAATGGAAAACATAACTAGAGGCTGTAGGAAAAAAAACAGGGTGCAGAGAAGTGTGACAGATACCTCCGTGTTTATAATGAACTTTACTCAGATTAACTTTCTCCTTTTGTTATACTTCTGGTAAACATACACACATACATTTGTATATAGATACATACATACATATATAGTTGCATACTGTACACAACAGACATATAATTCAGAGTATAAAAATGTTGAGAGATGACATAATATGGTCAAAGAGCATCTGAAAGCACATTATTTTGTGCCTGAGAGATAGAGAGAGTGGGAGAGGGAGAGGGAGGTGAGATAATAGAGTAACATATACAAAAGGCAGCTATGGCTTGTGGTCGATCATAAAGAGAATTTTTCAATTGGTAGAAAATTCAGTTCTACAAGGATTTTAGGTGGTTAAAAATGTGTTGGTGAAAAAAGTAACAAAAACGAAAGGAGATTGTGGTAGACTTTTAAATTGTTGGGATGTAGGACTGTGTTTTTTACCGAAACCAAGGATGAGCTCAATAAATGGTACATTAAATATGCTGGAGGTTAGTTAGACATGTTGAAGTTCAATAAGCATGAGATCTGTTGTGGTGAGAGTATGGCCATATTTTGTTCAAATACTAAGAACAAGAAATTTAGCCGCCTAGGTTGGAATGCAGTGTCTGGTTGGCCAAACAATTTATGGATTGGCTATTTGGGTTGTTTTTCTTGAATAAGCACTTGATTGACTTGAAAATGTCATGCTATACACTTGCAAACTTTAATAGATAGAAACATATTGCATGCTCTGGTTGATGACAAAAATCTTGTGTTTTGTGGAATACATTGTATATTTTGCAGCATGGGGGGTGTTGGGATCCAACTATGTGTTTGAAACGTGTACTTCACTCATTTTGAAGTGACAACCATGCTCATGAATGGTTTTAAGAATGAGTGATTGTTCTTTTCCGACCCTTATTGCTTAATGTGAGAGCAGACAGTTAATGCCTAAATGCTAGATGGACGGGTTGTAATTTGGAATCAGGTCATGAGGAATTTATCTCTCGTGAATACTCTAGTCTCGGCGTGGATGGTTTGGTCAAACGTCTATGTTTGAAACTTGGCAACTCTTTGGGGTTAGATCATGAGAAATTTGCTCCTCATGAATATTCTAGTCCCGACGTTGATGGTCTGTCTTTGACCGGATAGGGGAGGAGACTAGTCGAGGTGTGTGTAAGTTGGTCCAGACACCCATAACTATTGAACTGGAAAAAAAAAAAGGAACGAGAATGCTATATTGATGATGAATTTGACGACAAATTTTATAGTATTGTCGATTAACTATGAATTTATTATTGTTTCATGATGTTTTTCCGTCACCTGAATTCCTTTGTTTCATTTGTTTACACAATAATCATTCCTGGTATATCTGTAATTCTATCCTCAATTTTTGGCAATTGTGTAGTTTTTTAGTAACTTCTATATATATTGGGGGACATGCTTCCAAAATGTTGTTTTGAATTGCTTTCTTCTAGAAGGAATTGTTCACAAAATTTGTTTCTTGCAGAGAAACGCTATCATTTGGGTTGACAAAAAATTGATTCTCTTGGGTCTTTTGAGAATATATCCACTATGTCAGAGGACGCGGTTTGATGTGGATATTTTTGAGACAAATATTGTATAGAGCCACATGTCTTGAGAAAGACTTTTGGTAATGGAGCTAAAACCCACTTATGATGTTGAAAGCAATAGGTCTGCCCATAGAATTCAGCATGATCTGTGGCCCCTTGATGAAATTGACCCGACGAAAGCAAAGTTCCCTTGTTGTCTTGTTTGGACTCCCCTTCCAGTGGTTTCATGGTTGGCACCTTTCATTGGCCATGTTGGCATATGCCGGGAGGATGGAACTGTATTAGATTTTTCTGGATCCAACATTGTTAATGTTGACGATTTCGCATTTGGTGCAGTAGCTAGATACCTTCAACTAAATAGAGAGCAGGTACTCCTCTATTACTGCTGCCAAATTGACTAGTGTGTTTATTTTTGTGCTCTTTCCCACTCTCTCTCTCCTTGGATGGATATGTGGTGTAAATACATATCTGCCACGATTATCATCACTTACAGTTACTCAGGAATACCTTCCATGGCTTATGGAAGGTTAACACTATTGTTTGTCCTCTCATAGTTTTGACATTATATTTACTACAATGAATGGAAGATTAGATTGGCTGCTGGATTAAATATTGGTCCATTGATAACTCTCTTACGAAAGTTTAAATTTTTGAACAGTGCTGTTTTCCTCCAAACCTTTCTGGGCACACATGCAAGCAACGCTACAAACACGCGGAGTATGGGACTGCAATCACCTGGGATGATGCGCTTCAGTCAAGTTCGCGTCTATTTGAGCACAAATCCTACAACCTCTTCACGTGCAACTGCTACTCGTTCATCGCCAATTGTCTGAACCGACTCAGTTACGGTGGATCAATGGGTTGGAACATGATTAATGTAGGAGCTCTTTTACTGTTCAAGGGACAGTGGGTTAACAGCCTGTCAATTTTAAGATCATTTTTGCCTTTCACAGTGGTACTATGCTTTGGAATTTTCATGGTGGGGTGGCCTTTTTTGATTGGATTACTATTCTTCTCTCTCCTCCTTATGGGGTGGTTTTTGTTGGGTACTTATTGTGTCAAAAGTTTGTTAGAATGCTAATTCTACTTCCATCAATACAGATGTCGGAGTTGTATTTTTCTTGGTAGAGTTATATTCATCATACTCAATATGGTGTTGGCATTCAGGAGAAAAAGCTTTGGTGTCGTTTTTGTATCTCTCTTTTGCTGGATGTTTAGATTAATAGTTGTTACAGGATTTGGGGGTTCTTCCGCGGCCATATATATGATAGAACCCTGGGCGGCACTCTGACTTAAGCTCCATATGGATTGACAGCACATACCTCTAGAGTTGGCAATCTTAGGCATAACTTGTAAAATCGGCAAAAATTTGACAAAAATTTGACATAGATTTAGTGGGTTTGGATATAGTCTTAATGAGTTCAAGTGGTTAACGAGTTAATTCGGTAAACCCACGAAGTAAACGAACTGATTTTGTGTTTAATCCATAAATTCGTTTCAACCCGTTAACAGTGGTACCATAAATTTAAAAAAAAAAAATAGGTTTCTCAGTCTTTGTCTTATCTTACTCCTCCAATCTCTCAGACTCAATCGAGTTTGATAGTAATTTAATGTTTTTTTTTTGCCTTTACTTTTTTACTCAATCATGACTTATTGTTATAATAAAAAGATCAAATCAATGTTCTTCTTTAACAAGTGACACGCAGATTGGTCAAGTGATACACAGATTGTGTCAGGTAACCCGTCTAGACAAATCGTGTATGAATGTGATAATTAAACCCGTTTATATAAATAAATAGAGTATGAATAGAAATTTTTTTAGCACGAAATTATTCCACCCAATACAGTTACTAGGTCTACATTCCAGTAGTTGTCCTCTAAATTGTGGTTTCTACATGTGACATAGGTTGTGGAAATTAGTTATGTTGCTGTTGAACACATATAAGACTAGTCCCCAAGGTGGGCTCTGATCTGTCTTTTGACCAGATCCCCCTAAAAACCATACGTGCGGGTCACCCTGCATGAGGCTCACACCATTTGAGGTGGCCCAATCCCGCATTCATTCGCAAATCCTGTTGTAAAATTGAGACTGCTCAACTTCAGAAGCTAATTCATGTGTAGGCAACACTATCTGTCGTACTGTTGACTCTATCTATTCATTGAATTTGCTTGATCTTTTTTTATATAGGCTCACTCCCTCTTTTTCCAAGAATTCTTGCACTGCCCTTTACTTCATAGGGCTTTCTCTCATAAGGAAATGCCTCTCATTTCTGCCAAATGACCCTGCCTCCCTTGGCTCTTTTATGCTATGCTCCCCCGGCGCAGGCCTACCATGCTTCGCGCCTATAGTGTTTTTGTTAGATGGTCTTTGCAAGTAGTACCATCCTCTTCACTGGCTGTATGGGCGGGTTGTCCCTTGTTGCTTTGTTTTGTTAGGCTATGAATTATAGGAATAAATATAGTTGAATGGAATAACAGGCAGGTTACACGTTTCACTATGTCGAGATGTGAGGTGCAGGTGGTGATGATTATCCCAGGGTATGCACTAGTGCTTTGGGTTGGCATTCCAAAACCCGCCAACGCTCATGAAAACTCAGGTCGATCGGTCGTCCATTCATCTGACCAGAGGTGTGGATAATGAAGTCACTTTCACAACCTTCCCCCTCTGCCCCTATGTCGTGGTAAGGTAGAGTTGTTCGCTTGAGTTGCTCAACCGCCCCTTAGCCCGATACTCTTGACATGCTACAAAACCTCCATCGTACCAAGGGACCACGCAGAGCATCGCTAGCTGCATAAGAACCATTTTTATTTTAAGTAATGAATATTATTCAGATTTTGATACAAAAGAGCTCATTTTCTATCATTCTATCAAAATATCCAATATTTCGCAAAAATTTCATTTACCATGAGCAGTTAGGAATAGAATATTGAGGGAAATTGCTGAGAAATATTGTTATGATAAAAAATGAGTGGCAAAACAAACACCATCTTAACCGAAGCTCCCCACCCCTTTTTTTCTCTGAATAAACACAAGGCAAGTATGTCTTCACCTCCTTTGTCAAATCCAGAAACAACAACAGCTATTGACATATGTATTCCAACTTGCACCAACATGGAATCAAAGCGATCCCATGCATCATCAAGAAATAAGACACGAGGAAACTGAAGTAATATATAATTGATCATAGAAAGAAGCTGAAAGAAATGTATTATTTTATGCTGGGCTCAGCAGTAACACATTTATAAGATAAATTAAGATGGAAACTATGAAAGCTCATCAATATTGCCCAAATATCCTTTACTCTGGGCAACAGAACAGTGTTAAGTGCACAAACTGTGAGAAGAAACACAAGTCGTTATTACAAGTGTTTCGGGCAAGATCAGTATCAAGAAAACAAGCAGAATGATCAGGAGGGACAGGAATCAGGATGGATGATTCCCTTATTCCGGCAGGTGTCATTGGCATCATATGATGCATGAAACCTTAAGAGATTTCATCATGCTCCGTACTTGGGGGCCTTCCAGAGCTTAAATGCAACTTCGTGTAGAAACCTGTCTGCAGGTATAGTGAGGTTTCCACCATGCTGCATCAGAAGGACAACACATAATTAGCTTGAAGTCTGAAACCACAATATCAATAGATTAAAGCTTGGCACCATGTAGAGTAATTTACAACAACATGAAAGATTTCATGACTGCTGGAGATTCTCTATCTGCATAAATTATTCCCTCAATTATATGTTAACTTGTAAATGGTAAACATGGTAAACATAATAATAAGTAAGACATATTAACACCTAACAGCACCTAGAAAGGCAGAAGTATTTGTTTCTTTGGTAATAGTGATTTATACTGCCATACACAATACTTGAACTGATGAGGTAGTTATTTATTGATTGAGAATTACAATGTCTTTTAGAAGAGCCTAAAACAAGTGTTGTGGATCACACAATATGTTAGTGTCTGATTTGAGTCTGGTCAGATTTATTTTGGGTAATTTCTAGATTTTCTGGATCACTGTGATCCATGGGTCATAAGATGGATCAACTGTTATTTGAATTTTATTCAGAGTTTCATATGGTCTCGAATATCCTTAATAATAAATAAGTTTTATTCCTAATTCTGAGTCTCTAGTCCTTAGTGTATTCAGAGTTCTGTTTAGCCTGTACATATGTGTGTAGTCACATTGATTCAACGAAGCAAAACCTACATTGCAAAACCCAACCATTCCCTCTTCCCCATTTAGAACTTCAACATAACATATCCAAACGTCCTATAGGAGAATGTTTCCTGACTTGTCAAGCGCTTTAACATCCCTCAGATCTACTTGTTGGAGAAAGGCCCTAAAAAAAGTTATTTTATATATAATATACTATTATCATAATATATCAGGTATCTCAATACTATCATTTGCTGTAATTTATAGTTTCAAAAGAAAAAAAGTTCAATACTCCCACAGCTGAAACACAAACCAGAAAAGCTTTCATAGAATTAGAAGAATATATACAATGTACAAATATGCGTATTTATTTATATTTATATCCTTTCTTTAGATATGTGAGTTGTGACAACAATGGAGCAATTACATGCAAATCTGCTGCAGTAAATCACAGGCACCCAAAACAAGACAGAATAATTTCACACCAAAAAGAAGAAACAGGCACCCAAGGTCCTAATCATCATGCTTTGTACTATGCACATGCAGGAAAATATCTGGTGCTATTTAACGACTAATTTCTTATCCATTGTAACATGTGCTGATTATGTGCAATCCCAATAAGGCTGCAAATAGACCAATACTTCCACTTACAGCCACGACATGCCTCCAGCAAATTGAAGTACGCCTAGGAAAGGAAAAGCATAACTATGATGTAAAATTTAAATGGCAAGATATGGTGCATAAGTTTTGATCTCAGTAACACTACAAGTTTCATAAAAGCAACATCAAAGCGGAAAACAAGTACATTGGCCAAGTATATCAACATCAAATATAAGGCCCCCATAATTTACTCCACTAAAATCAGAGCTTTATAATGGTATTTTATGTGAACTGATACCTCTTTAAAATCTCTAAACGAAAATGTCTCTGCCAAATCCTTGCGAGTTACAGCATGCTGCCATTGGGCAATTAACATTGGACAATGGTGCCTGTTAAAAGAAGAACTTAGCAGGAGCCATAAATCGTAATGCAAGTAAAGTAGTAGAAGAACACTTTCAAGCTCCCACTAACCTAACATTTTCCCGTGGATGCCCTCCTTTCATGGTGTAACTTTGACGAGGAAACAATAGTGAAAGATTAGTTTGCTGGTTAGTGTTTAAAACAGATAAACTAAGATCATCGTTCTCTGAAACAGTTCCATAGCTCATTACAAGAGAGATGTGCAATCGGGAACCGATTTCAGATCCAGGTTCGGCCATGTGCATTAATTCCCCGACCAAACCATGGACAGATTTCATGTTTTTCCCACCATTTGACTTTTCACCAGCTACCATGTGAACTAAAACTAAATCATACTGGCTTGCCTCTAAAGTCTTCCCTCCTTGAAATCCAAGCAACCTCAGTAATTCAGAGACTACAACATCATGTGGCGACTCAGCAAGGGGATGACTGCTGTCAATTAAGTCAACCAACTGTAACACAGTGAAGCCAAGTTTGCCTCCAAATGATCGTAAACTTGGATTGTCAGTAACTATGGCAGCTCTCATACCCATGAACCTGAAGTTAAACAAGACACCAAGTTGACTTCATATGTTCAACATACATAGCAACATACTTCTCCAATTAACACAATTAGAATTGCAAAAACGTGATAAGCAATAATACCTTTCTGATATGGTTGGCATTAAAGACTTTCCTTGGCATGCTACTTTGGAGGTGTCTTCACCACTCTGAAAACCCACAACAAGAGCTGTCACAATATACTCCATCATGAAACAATCATTACAGGATACATGGATCTCACCATACTAACATAGGCTTCAGATGCATCAAGTAGCTCTGCAAACTCTCTGACTATTCGTGCATCTTCACTTTCTGCAATCTAATAAACAAGTAAATCCCAAAAAATAATAGATGAGACGTGTCAAAACAGCAAAAATTATTTACAAGAATGAATTAAGAGGAAGGGCAGCAGTTTCCTTGCTATTTCAAAGGATCACTTTCTGTCACAGAATCTAAGGTAGGCTTCAATAAGCTCATCCGACGGTTTTAAATAGACTCATCTAACAGCCTCCAACATTTCTCTCAAAACTATTCACATTGCACCATTCCTTCACGCTCGGGTTACCCCTAGTTTGAATCAAAAAGGTGGCTGGGAACAGTAGCTAGAGAATATGTTCCAGCAAAAGGGTCTGAAATCTGAAGGAAGGAACGATTTTAGGGGAGAGACTTTCAATGAGGAAATAACATTTTTGACAATCCTGAGGAGATGGTTAACAGTATGCGCCACTGATAATCAAAAAATGATGTGGGCTAAACAACTGATATATGTCAAAGATGAGAGGGGGAAAGAGGCAAAACAGAACATGAACCATGAAACCGCAGAAAGAGATTAGATATCCAAGTCTTATCTAAACATAGAGCTTTCCAATTAATTATTGTGAAGCACCATTGATATCATTGACCCAAGAAGTGAACAGAGGCAAACTAAATTGGTCTGTGTTATGGGTCTACGTGTTTATAAGGTGGATACTGGAACACCACAATCAGATTGCGAACACTTGTTATCTTACACTAGATGAAGTTCAGGGATTCAAACAGTCAATGAATATGATCCAAAAAGAAAACCACCTAGCATACTCATTTTCTTTACAACAAGAAGGACCCATAGTTATAAATCCCTTTTCCCACAACTGACCAAAACATTACTAATAAAGTATAAGCATCCAGTAACAACACATAAGGGGGCATACCCCAATAGAAAATAAATCAAAGTTCAGCAAACAAAGTGAAACCACACTTGCAAGACTATGATCAGAAAATCTTCAAACTGCTTGACGCATTAAGAGACAAGTAAAAAACCCAAATTCTATAAGTCACACTAAATAGATTTCAAATCAATAAGATGTGATCGATATGATACCCTAATTCAATCCAAACCCACAACTTCCAAAAGCATCAGATGCGCCATGATGAATTTGCAAGGTAAGTACCTTGATTACAATTTTATTTTCCTCATTTTCAGAAAAAGAAATATCAAGCACTTCCCCATTTTGGGTGCAAAAATATTACTTTTTTGGCTCAGTTTAGTCTTCAAATAGTCAAAAATCCAAAAGACAACAATGTCACACCTAGAAATCTATAATCTTTCGTTTGGCTTCTCAGATTACTCAGTAGCATCGGACAGTCAAAAGATAGAAATTAGCCAAACCCACAAAATCAATCCACTAAAGCAAAAAGCAATTCTGGGTGTGTCTTTAATCGGTGTATTCTGTACAATCAGTAGAGCAATCCAAAAAATGAAGGAGGCAAACATGTATATGCACGAATACATAGAAGGATTAAAAAAGGAAGAAAAAGAAGAAGAAAGTCCAAAATTTACATGAATGGAAAGAGGGGAAAGAACCTGAAGGAGGAGAGTGAGGAAGGGATAAGAAGCCGCAGCAGGCTCGAGATGCAAAAGAATGGAGATGGGTGTGAGATGAATTTATGAATCGGGCCAACCCATCTCCGTACAACACCAATCCTCTGCTTGGCTTGTCCGCCATTTGCTTCTAAAACTCCAGAACCAGAGAGAAAGAGAGAGCAGGGTGGCTGATCAGTAAGAATCCGATTCTGCTTTGCGACTCAAAAGGTCGGTAGGGGGTTGAGAAACTCTACGTACGTGGCTGGCATTGGGCAAAGTTAACAAAGAACAAAACACACGCACTACGAGGTCAAGCTATGTATGCAGCTGAAGGTAAATCTCTTTTCATTTTTATTTTTGTTTTTATTTTTTAGAAAATGGACGTTTTTCAATTTTTTTTATTTATTATACAAATTTTTTTGATTCTCTAAGTCGGTTTTTTTTTATTCTATTTAATAAAAAAATTTTTTTTTTTCATTTTTTGTCTATCTCTTTTAATAACTGTTAAGTCGGTTGTTTTTCATATTGAAATACTTGTGTGCACCTCTCTCATGAACATAATTTGTAATTTCGTGAAGTGATTACACACAATACATAGAATAATTTGATTAAAAATAACTAATTAAATATTTTTAAATTTTAATAATTAATATTTTAAAGAGGAAAGTCTTCTAAAAAATCTTATCCTTAATTTAATTGTTTTATATATATATATAGATATATTAGTATAATTAACATGTATGAATTTTTTAAATTAAAATACATTATTATGATATTTATTTGATATGAGAATTAATAATATTGATTTGTCATTCACGGTAAAAAATAGAATTTCATGGATGAGAGGACTTCATTAGTGCAATGTGATTAATCAGTGTTATTCTATTATGTTTAAGGATGAGTTAATTACATATTCTTTAAAATTATGTGTGCTATATTTCTGGATTTTATAACTTGATTCTTGTTCTAGTTGTTTATCTCATTTTGTAGATAATTCAAATGATTTATAATGATAGTAAAAGTGATCCAAATTAAGCAAATAGTTGAGGAATCATTCGGGTTAGAATAGGGGGTGATTTGATGAAGAAAGGAAGTTGAGAAGCATTTCGGAATATAAAAGCGCATTAGAGAGAATTTGGAAAGAAAAACATTTGACACTACTTCAATATTTTAGTTATAATTTTTTTTCCCAATGTCTAATTAACTTAATTTTGCGGCATTGAAAAAGTAGATTTCAAGAATTTTAAAAGTGTATTTCATAAAAAATTCGTACAATGACCTCTAACTACGTTAAAAATTTGGCCAAAAACTTACACGTGGCTGGACAATTGGAAACAAGGGTCCGAATGCAACAAGCAAAAAGACCAAGGTAAAATAGGGTGTTCGGACGGTCCAAAATCCGCCTCCAGATGTAACGGGCAAATTGGACAAACACGAGTATTTGACTATGTTCAGTTTTCTTAGTTTTTTAATCCTTATATAAACTTATGTAAATCTATAGAGTTATTATGCTCTTAACCCCTCTTTCTAGTTTTCTATTGTATTCTTTTATGGAATGCTTAATTTTCAATTAAAATTAGGGGAGGTATTTTCAATAAAGTATAATATTATTTTTGATCAAATATTTTTTAATACATGATTTATTCATTTAATTTAATTCATGTCTTTTAATAAATTTTTGTTTTGTATAATTTATTGATTCGTTATGCCATGTACGTCAAATGCGTGAGATTACTTGCGAGTCAAATAATTGATTTTTCATATTTGAATTAATTAATTATATTTTTTTATTAAATAATTGATTTTATTGTAATAAAATTAGAATTTATTTGTTGGAGATTTTAATTCATCTTAGACTCTCTGGATACAATGAATGCTTGTAATCTACAAGTAGATTACTAGATTTATTTAGATAAAGTATCAATTATACTTTTAAATATTTTCAATATTATCACCGCTAAATATTCTCGAATATGATCATTTCTTAGATGATTCTCAATTAAGTTCGAAAATCGAATCTTTAATAATTGTCGTATAAAATTGAAAGGTATCTCAGATGTTTTAGTATTTCAAATTCTTGTTTTTAACCAATTAATTTATGTTCTTTTCATATATGTCCTCTGAAGAATTAAGTTGATTAACTCTTAGAAGTATAAAAAATGTTGAATTGGAGATTCTAAGTTATCAGAAGTCGAACTGAGTTACTGAACCACCCTACTAGGTATTTCACAATAGTAGAACCTTTATATTCACTCTCAAAGAGAGTTACACTTACTGGTCGCCTTTCTCTTTTTAAGCGATAAAAAGAAAAAAAAAAAAAATTCTTAGTTGTGTGTAGGTTATTCATATAGATGGGCTTCTCATGGACCCTTTGTTGGGCTGGACTCGCCCTGAATCCGGTTTGTTTTGATAAACCCGGCCCAGAACGCTGACACGTCCTTCAACGTTGTCACCATTTGCAAAGTCTAGTCCCTTCCACAGAATCCACACCACCTCTGTTCTAAAACTCTTTCCGAGTTCGATTTCTTGCGATCATACTTCAACTCTCTGTACTTCTCTCTCTCCCTCTCCCTCTCCCTCTCTTCATCCTCACAATCATCATTTGTTCGGCGATCAGACTCTATCAAACCTCTCTACAGCTGCTTTTTCTGGATATATTTTCAGTTCTCTCTCATAAAATGTCGGCGATACCTTCATCCACCGGAGTCTCTGCTTCATCATCTTCTACTACATCAAAAAACGACGTCGAATCTCTTCGGCGAGAGCGAATTCTCAAGAGTAAGCTCTACTTCGATGTGCCTCACTCCAAGGCAAGTAGTTGAGAAAGCTCAGTCCTCCATTTCAATTTCATCAAAACTTTTTCTTTTTGCCTAATTCTCATTTGCTTGAATAGTATTATTCGTCTATCAGGTTCCTCTAATTTACTCGCCTTCGTATGATATCGCGTTTCTTGGCTTTGAGAAACTGTAAGGAATTCAAATCCATCTTCATATATGTGTTTTTTTTTTTTTTTTTGTATATACAGATTTGTGCATTTATTTTGATATATGATTGTATCTACCTAAAGGAAGTAGGCACGTGCATGCCACCCATCCTTGTAAATTTGTACAGCAAAAGTGAAGGTATAAGACTAATTTCAAAGCAAAACTTTGAAGTATTTTGAAGTTCATTGAAAAATTAGAAGCCTTGTTTAAGTGAAATTCTGACCTTTTTCGAAATTTTAAAATGAGTATGCATATGAAACCATAATTTGTTTCAGACTGGAGAAGGCAATAACGAGTTCTACCTCATTTAACCATACATGTGCTCTCTTTCTTTTGGGGCCGATTATGCACAAAATTATAGGCATCTGCCTGGTTATGCGCTAGAGTGTTGTGTGAAGGTCTAATGGCCTAGTTTTTGTCTGAAACTTCTATAAGAATAAGTTATCTTTTTGGTCCAACATATCTATATAATAAAGTAACTTACAATTCAAATTTCAAAAATAAACAAAATGACTTTTGCTACTCGCAGTTGAGAGCGCTTTAAATTTTATTTTAAAGTTAATCTAACGGCTAATATTAACACCCTAAATATAATAGGAAAAATAAATCACTAAGAGTGTATTTAGAGTGACTTTTTAAAAATATTTTTAAAAATTATTTATCATAAATACTTAAAAAAAATAGTGTTTAAAATCGTCCCATCATTACCTCTACCACAACCACCACCACTACCACCGCCGTCGCCACCATCACTACCACCACCACCACCATCACCACCACCATTACCCCCCACTGTCACCACCACCACCGCCATTACCCCCCACCACCATCGCCGCCACCACCATCACCACCACCGACGCTACCGCTACCACCGCCGCCACCACCCTACCCCACTACCATTGTCGTCGTCACCGCCACCATCGCCGTGGTTGCCACCACCACCACCACTGTTGTTACCACCATCACTACCACTATCGTCGCCGTCGCTGCCACCATCACCACCACTATCATCGCCGTCGCTGCCACCATCACCACCATTGCTGCCACCACGGTTATTGCCACCTACCACAACCATCACCGTCTCCTACCACCACCACTGCCGCTCACCACCTCTCAACCCCACTGTAAATTGATGTTTAAATTCTTTTATCTCTTCTCTATATTTGTGATTTGATTTTAGATATAAATACAAATATGTTTATTGTTTATCATTTTTTATTACTCTGTGCCTTCATGCACAGACAATAACTAGTATATATATATTCCATCTGACCAGATTTGACTTATCTTATCTTTAGATTTTGACAGACTTCTTATTGTAAAACCATATTAGTATATGCAACACGATGGTATAGGGTGTGCTTTGTTCATTAGACATGAAATATGTAAAGTGAGACAGAGCTCATGGGAGCTATCACGAGGTCACGCTCACTTCCTTAAGCATTCGGTATTTCATTATCCCACCCTCCTTCTCCTCCTCCCCTCAACACCCTAACTCTGGACCTTTTTACAAATGGAAATAAGTATTTATGGCTAAAACTAATATTTGTATTAATGTCCAATGAAAGGGCTTTTTTGGACAAGGGTGCCAATGACCTTTTCGAGCACCCTGCCAGTCCTCTCAGTTCATGACCATGAATGAGTTGTGCATTGGGAAAGCAAAGATCATACTGTTTAGGTAGCCCAGGGGAGACTCTAACTTTGGATCTCCGGCCTTTTTAGGTGGGCTCTAGTCGACTTATCTTTGGCTATCCATTTGGCAACTTGAAGGCGTTCGGCTTTGGATGTGTACGATTACTCAAAATTTAAGTCTGGCATGCAAGAATGAAACATGGAAAATCAGGGCTTTGTGTTGGTTAATGGGATTCACCGCTTGTGACTTGTTTCACTCGTTCATATGTTTTTAAGCTTCAAAGCCTGCAATACAATGCTATAAACATCAAATAATTACATGCATGTATCGTCTTTTTGTTTTTTTAAGTTTTATGACTTGATGGAAAGTATACAGATACTCTTATTGTGAAATGTTAATATGAAATGACAAACTTTATGAAGAGAGGTGTTGCTGTGCCATGATGCGTAAAAGTTAAAGCAAAACTCTGGTTGTTGCATAGTTAATGTGAATTGGATATTAGCTTTGATACATATTTAATTAATTAATTTTATCAAATGTAGGCACCCATTTGATTCTTCTAAATGGGGTCGTATCTGCCGGTTCCTCGTCGCGGATGGTGTTCTGGACAAAAAACATATAGTTGAACCTCTAGAAGCTACAAAGGATGATCTCCTAGTGGTAGCCACCGCATTTCTTGATAGCCTTCAGTCAGTTATTTTTGTACTTGTCCCATGTGGTTCTTGAAGGATGCAACAATCATTGAATTTGATTTTGATGGGATCATACTTTTGTCACATATTTCGCACCTAATAAACTGTATCCGTGCACGTGCATGAGTATGCCTTTGTGCATTTCCCAGTGGTATGGTCTAGTAGACAACACTGTTGGAAATTGGAACTCAATCAATTTCCTTGCATTGAAGCTTCTGTTATGTTTCTTTAAAATAATCCTATTTGTAATGCCATCTTTCATGCTTGTTGGTTTTCGTTTTTAGGTTGACATCTAATCAATTTTACTGTTGGAAAAAGAAGAGTGGTCTGTTTTCTGTAAAATGCTTTCTCTCTATCAACTTTTGGAGGGGAAGCACAATCGATCTAGGTGGTTTTTTTTTTTTGTTTCTCATTTCTCATTTCTGTTGGCTCACTCTTTCTTGGCCTCCATCTGGGGTTGACATGACTTGAAACTTCTTATGCTGTTTTTGTTTTCACTTCGGTAGTTCTAGATAATTACTCTTTGATCTAATACATTTGTTGCCAAAGCCATTAGTAGCACAGTTGTTTAAGTGTTGGCATGTCATCTTAGGGTAGCGGATGGGTCAGTGGTTTGAACTCATCCTTAACGAAGAAAGACCTAATAGTATTAATCAATGAAGACTTTAGTGCAGAAACATATTAAGAATATTTCCCATTAATCTCCAACATTCTTGATAGCTTTTTTTTTTTGGTATAAAAGTTTGGGTACCAACACTGGCTGCACTATTGCACATCTGAGTCAGATTCTTTTCTGTTTTCATTTGTTTCCGTGTTTATTTTGACTTTGTTGATATTAATGGTGACAGGTGCATCCAGAGTCATACTTGAATAGTCTAAAGAGCAGTTTAAATGTCTCCATTATAATTGAGGTAATGCATAGATTACTTTGCCCATTCTCTCATTTATCATAAACCCAGTTTTCTATAGAATCTCCATACATGAATCAGTGAATAAGTAAAGGATGCTTCAATAGATATTCAATCAAACCATATAAACACAAATTATTTGTGTGAGAATGAATCACTTTTGTGGTTCTTTTCTATCTTTTATTGGAGATGATGACCATCTGCTTTGGCTGAAGGCACTATTTTAATTTGTGTATGTCAGGAGCTGTATTGATGTCTGCTTGACCTCATATTCTCAAGATTTATTTGAATGTGTCCACCGAAATGACTGAAACATTTCAAAACATAAACCAAAAGGAACAATGGTTGAATTTTGAAATTCCTGTGTTTTGATTCCTTCAACCAATATTTTGGAAATAAATTTTCAATTTTTTCTCTGGTTTTAATTCATTTCCGAAATGTTCCAGAAACATTTCCGAAACGTTTTTGTATCCTAACTGGCTGAAACCATGTGGCAGAACAAAATTTTGATCTTTGAATTTGCATCACTTTGTATACAAGGGGTCAAAGTCTGGCAGTGAGATGATGGACATAGTTTGCATGAGTTATATATACATATGTGTACGTACACACACACATGCATAGACACATGATGTGTTGGTGAGTTAGCATTTTAGCCATGTGTTGGTTTCATTTTGATGACACGTATGAGACATGTTCAGCAAGGTTCAGGAAGGGAGGTGGTGAGTCAGCCTTATGAGAAGGTGGCTCATCCATCGACCACAGGGTATCAACATAAGGATGGAGAAGTCTCACTCCACATGGACTTCTATGTATGACAATTATATGTGTGCATGTGTAGGTGTGTGTCATGTGGGTTTTTGTTTTCTTCAGGGAGGGAGTAGGATCATTAACGATAATGAAATCCCAACCTGCCCTAGTTCTCTCTCTCTCTCCCTCTCCCACCCACCCCCCATCACCAGGCAAGGCCTTTGGATTGTGCGTGTTTTTGTTCCTCGTGTTCCAATCCAATGAGAGGCATGGAGGAGAGTGAATGGGCTGCCGACGATCTGCATCTCGCTGCATGAAGAGTTTATCTTGTTCATTAAATGGTGTGTTTCAGTCCAATGTTAATATTATAGGTAAATACAATAATGGTCCCCCAAATACAAGTTTTGTGTCACTTTGGTCTTCATTCTTTAAATTGTCATTTTATCCCCCTAGTTTCCCATTTGTGTGGCTTTAGTCCAATCCAAAACGGCAGCTGGTGACCACACTTGAGGGGTCACTTTGGTCTTAACTGATTTTTCCTTAAGGAGGAAATTTTCAAATCTTAAACTGATTTTTTGGGATTCTTTGGATTCTGTTCGGATGAAATAAAAGTCCTTCTGGGTACTTTTTGCACTTTTTTGAAGTTTAAACATCATGAATTTAATCATTGATGTAATTAGATTTTTTGAAGGGGTCAGATATGTGGCCCCAAGCATATGTAATCTTTGATTTGAAATCAATAATATCTACCCTCGCTCCGTCGAGGTCTTTAATAAAAAAAACGAAAGGGGTCACATTGGTCCTTAATTATGCACATTGTCTCACTTTGATACTCGCTGTTTCAGTTTTGTCAATTGTCCCTTGATTTTCCAAAAAATGTTTCTCAAGTGGGGTCATGTGGCCACTTCAGTTTGTCAATTGGAATGCTGTTTTCGATTGGAAACTTGAGGATTGGTGACAAAATTGAAAGAGTGAGGACCAAAGTAACAAAAAATGGTTACTTGAGGGACCATATTGTATTTTTTCCCGTTATTATCTATAAACATGGTTACTACCTGTTAGAACCAATATGTGTAACTGCATCGAGCTGTGTTGTTATTAATGATGTTCAGCTTTGGTATCGAGGATAACTGTTATTTATATCCTGTTTATGTTTCTTTAGATTTTTGATGGTTTAATTTGCTACAATCTTCAGGTTCCTCCTGTTGCACTATTGCCCAATTGTCTTGTGCAGCAAAAAGTTCTTTCCCCATTCCGAATGCAGGTAAATCAAATTAGGGTCCTATTATCCTTTGTTTCACGGTCTGGAGCCTGCTGAATATGTTTTGTTGTAGGTGGGAGGAACCATTTTAGCATCAAAGCTTGCAAAAGAGCGAGGTTGGGCTATCAATGTTGGTGGCGGATTTCATCATTGTTCAGCAGGAAATGGAGGTGGATTTTGTGCTTATGCAGACATATCACTTTGTATTCATTTTGCATTTGTCCGATTAAATATTTCAAGGTACTGACACTAGCTACTCATAATTAACTTGTTACAGTCCTATCCCTTATGAATTTATAGATCTTGCTGTGGATATCAATCAGATAGATGCATTATCATGTAGTACTACTTCTTGTCCTCTTTACTTGCAAACAATCTGCAGGGTGATGATAATTGATCTTGATGCACATCAGGGAAATGGACATGAAAATGATTTTTCTGATGACCGTATGATTCTAGTCTTTCGTTGTGGTGGTGTATATTGCAATATGGTCTTATACTGATTGTGCCTGGTACTGGCAGGAAGAGTCTACATTCTGGATATGTACAATCCTGGCATTTATCCCTTTGTGAGTTACGTTCTTATGGATCACATAGTCCTTGACTTCTAGATAACAGCTCTCTCTCTTCTCTGTGTTTATGTTTAATTTGTAATTTTGAATGCAAGATTGTTCATTGTGACATCCAAATCAGAGGTAACAGTTTCCTGATGGCTTCTCAAATGTTGCATCTCTCTTTCGTAGGATTATGAGGCGAGGAGATACATTGACCAGAAGGTTGAAGTAACGGTAAGTCATATCAATTCATCGTTAAATCTTGATCCAACCTGATTTTGTTCTTGCACTGCCATAATATTTTCTTTGTGTATATTAACAGAGTGGAACTGCAACAAATGAATACTTAACAAAACTAGATCAAGCACTTGAGGTATATACTTCTGATCCTATCCCAGCTGTTCAACGTAATATATTTTGTGCTGGAATAATGCAATTCTACGAGACCAGTGCATAATAGATTAGGTGAGAAATTATATGACTTTAAAGTCCTGTGAAACCCTAAACTTGGTCCTTTGCGATACCCACTCTATCTCCCTGGTAATTGGTGAAAAATCATACACATTTCATAATAGCCATGTCTACACAGCCAAAGAGTGCAGAATTGGGAAAACTTAAGCAGTTACGACCATTAGTCATTATGGATTAGAAATTGGTTTGCTGAGCTGTAGCACTATAAACCTTAGCATCAGTGGAGCGACAATTTGAGAACCATATAATTGTGTATGCTATAGTGGATACTTTATTTGTTAATTGCAAGTGTTTTCGTATGAAAGTAGTCATGTGTAGACGGACAATGAGAACGTTCAAATGAAATTCTAGGTTGCTGGACGTATGTTCAATCCTGAGTTGGTGGTTTACAATGCTGGAACAGATATTTTAGATGGAGATCCACTGGGAAGGTTAAAGGTAATGTTACCTTGGATTTGCTCCTCAATGGGCATTTGTGTATTCTAATTTTCAGTGGGCCTGGCCCATTCTTTTTTCTGTTCATATACTGATGCAGGAGTCATTTCATTGTACATGATTACCTGTGAAGGGCAAATTATGAATTTTGCTTTCAGTATAACGTCAAAATTTGCGCTCTCATAGATATTGTAATCCTTTATTGAAAAAAAAGATGCTATAAGAAAAAAACAAACGAACAAACTTTTATAATGCTCTACACTTCCGCACAGGTAAGTCCTGAAGGTATAATCAGTAGAGATGAGAAGGTTTTCCGGTTTGCTCGTGACAAGAACATACCTCTCGTCATGCTTACATCAGGTTCAATGAATTTTGTGCTGATTGTTTACTTCACCCTGGAATTCCGCTCTTTTCACACTGTTGACGGCCAGCAAAGCTTGTAATGGCCTTATATTTCAGGTGGATACATGAAATCCAGTGCCAGAGTGATAGCAGATTCCATTATAAACCTCTCGGGAAAATCTTTGGTAGATCTGGGAAGTCCATCAGAGAATATTTAAGTAAGCAATCAAGGTCTCTTTAGACTGCTCTTGAGGAGAACTTGAATGAAGAGATGGTTAAGAGATGGGTGTCCCTTTTCTCTCTTGATGTATTGATATTTGACTCTGCGGTGGTCATGCAAGTAGTCTGTCTGCTCACGAGGTAAGGTTTCATATGTCTAATTGTTTCCAAACCTTACCATTTGAGAGTACAGTATCTGTATGTAAAGGTTTGTAACTACTTGTACACAACAAACCCTGAACTGGAGGGATGTGTATACCATGTGTATACACAACTTCTCACTCACAGTTAAGTATATTCCTTCGCCCCATCATGGTCACGAATATGGGTCAGTTTCTCTGCCCTATGTGTAGCAATTAGAGGTGGCAAATGGGCGAGTTGGGTTGTTCAATATGGGTTGTGTGCAAAATAAATTTAAGGGTAATTTAGAAATCGGTACAAAAATTTAGACTTATTTAAACTAAACTATATTAAGAAAATTTATTTGACCTTAGGTGCATTTTTTTTGAAAAAACACTAAAATGTTATTTATTATTTCATTACTCTCTCTCTCCACTGCTTTCTCACTCTCTCCTCTATTATCTCTCTATTTATTTCTCTCATTGATAATTTATTTTTTTCATCTTTCTCTCCCTGTTTTTTCTCTCTCACTTCCTCTCTTATTTCATTATTCTCTCCCTTTCTCTGTCTCTTTATATTAACGTTACAAAAACACAATTATATTAATCAGTTACACTAATTAGTTACAATTACCTTATAATATATCAAATAATTACTCATGTGTTCTAATAAACCAAATAGTTATACTAAATAATTATACGAAATTACAACACTAATCTAATTTGTCATTTAGTTATTTACATAAATTAAAGAGTTACATCATTTAGTATCATGATATGGTTACACTAATTATATACATCAAATTGAGTTTATCATTACATAAAAGATTTTATTATTATATACACCAAATTGGATTGATGTCTTAATTTTGTATAATTGTTTAATGTAACTGTTTGATTTATTAGAACGTATGAGTAACTGTTTGATGTATTATAGGATAATTGTTACTTATTGGTGTAATTGATTAGTGTTGTTGTAATGTTGATATAAATAGAGAGAGAGAGAGAGAGAGAGAGAGAGAGAGAGAGAGAGAGAGAAACGGTTAGAGAAAATAGGGAGAAAATATAAAAAAATGAATTAAATTTTTACATATTTGAAAAGAAAATAAATTATGAATGATAGATAAGGAGAAAAAATAAGGGAGAGTGGAGGAGAGAAAATAAGGGAGAGATAGTGAGAGAGTCTAATGAAATATTTACATATTTGATTAGATATATAATTGCCAATCAAGAATGTATAATTTAGGGGAGGATATTTAGGTAAAAAAGTTTTGATTTCATTTGAATTTTGTATCTAAATACAATATGTTTTATTAAAATTGAACTTAATACAGTAAATAATTTATCTATATATTTTTTTTCAAATAAGTCTAAAAAATTATACCCACAATCAAAAAATCCTAAATTTAATTCATTTTTAACCTACTTAATAAATGAATTATAATAAGTTGGGTTAAACTTATTAACCCATAAAATAGTTAAATGTTTTAATATGAATACATACTAATATGTTAAAACACACACATTAATATACTAAAACGCATACATGTACACTAATCCATTAAAAATATGTACACTAATACATTAAAAATATGCCCACTAAAATACACACTAATACAATAACAATGTATAATAATATACTAAAACACACAAATACACACTAATATATCAAAAATACATACATATATTAACACAAAAAACAAAAACACATTTAATAAAAGTTCAAAATACACACACATAATGGGTTGGGTTGGGTTGTGGATCAGGTCAACCTGTGGACCATGGATTGTGGGTCACGGATCGGGGTGTATTAGTTTGTGTGGTGTATTAGTGTATGTATGTGTATTTTTTGGTATATTAATATATTTATTTGATTTTATTATTTGTATTATTTAATAGAAAGATAAATACTCAACCTAATGAAAACTCATTTGTAATCCATCTTAACTAGCTTACTTAAAATGAATCGTATTACCTAACTTATTTAAAATTCGCATTAATTAATATAAATACACAAGTTATTTATTTATGAATGAGTTTGACGGATTAATGGGTAATGAGTTAAGATTGTCACCTCTAATAACCATTATCTTTTTAAGCATGGACAATAGTTTGAGATAAACTGAAATATTTGAGGCATACATTAGTATGAACCATTTGTGTTTGGAGTGGAATTCACTTAGTGGACTAGAGAACCCATGTGATATGTTAGGGTTGTTTATACACTATCTTTATACGTTGAAAAGTCTCAAAGGCGTGCTGTCGAAGTTGACATACGAAAAAAAAAAAATGTAAAGTCACAAAGCAATTGAAATGTTCAAGAGTGTGCCGTCGAATTGGTATAAGATGGCAAAAGAATGAAAGTGTTTTAGTAACTAAAATGTAGGATAAAATTGAAATATAATTAAATTAAAACTTAATTGAAATAAAATATTAAAAATAGGATTTCATTGATATAAAGTAAAAATGATAGGATGTAATGAATGTTTGTAAGGAAAAATAATATTTATTGGTAATTTTTCCAAAAATCTTACTTTAGGACATGGTTGGTTTGGCAACTTAGGATTGAGATTGGACAATTCCTTTCAATTTTTAGGGTTAATTACAAATTGCATTCCGAAAGATCAAAAATTTTAATTTTCACCCTCAAAGATAGAAATTTGTATTAATGTTCACTCCCAAAAATCAAAAATCTTAATTTGTATCCTCAAATATAGAAATTTGTATTAATGTGCATCTAAAACTAACTGTCGTCAGTTTGCTGCCTAAAACTAAATTGATAAATTATATCTAGATTCTTTTATACTTGTCACTTAATCATTTGGACCCCTTCAAATTTAGAATATTTAGGTTTTAATAGCAATGCTATTAGAACTTAATTTGTTGATATAATTCATTATAAATATTAGAATCATTAGATTGATGGTGAGTCCCATTAAAACATTTAAACTTGGAGTTAATCCAACGGTTATAAAGAAGTTACATCATTAAGTCGATAAATTAGGTCAAATTTTTAAGTTTCAATAACATTATTTTTATTAACAAAAGTAATGAAAATGTAACACAACCTAAATAAAACCCAAAAATATAATTTAAATGTATATCATCCATTGTATGAGTTGATTTCATTAAAAAAGTTGATGCGTCTCAGTCACTGAAAAGATGATATATATTTAAATTATAAATTTTTAAATTTCATTTAAATTGGGTAACATGCATACAATCAATTTGTTTTCCATTTGTTCATCAATTTTTAAGCAATCCAACAAAATTGTTATTTTCATCATGCGGCTGTCTCTATTGTGCAGTAGTGCATGTGAGATGAGAACATCAATGCATGGCACGAGAGATAACAAAAGTAACTTCAACTCTGCTGACACCCTTCAACTAAGCTAAAGCTGCGAAGGAATCCTCTGGATACCATTATAATATTTTCGTTTATTCCACTTGAGAATTTTAAATTATTTTTCTCCCCTATAGACCTTTTAATGTAATAACCCCGCCCCTAATGGTCTTTTTGGTACGAATGATAAAAAAAAAAAAAAAAAAAAAAAAAAAAAAGGAAGAAAGAGTGAAAGAAATAAGTTTTTTATCCATGAAAGAAAGAAAATTATTTTTCTTTTTTTTTGTTTAGTAGAAGAGATGAAAAATAGAAGGGATCTATATTCTATCGTTTGACATTTGATGAAAAATAAAATGAAAAGAAAAACATATATGTTCAATTTATAATTCTACCCTTAAATATGTTAAGTGAATTTTTTATTACAAATCAATCCAATTAATTTAAAAAGGTTTTAATCCCCTCATTTTTGTTACAAATTAATTTTGCTTTGAATGATTTGTAACTATTAATTTAAAAAATGACAAAATGAAATTAATTAAAAATAAGAATATAAAAAGAATTTACACATTGGTGCATTTTCTTAGATAAAAAAAAGAAGATACAAAACTAAAAATAATATTTAAATTCTATAATCATAACATTAAAAAAGAGTAGTGAGCTTCATGTGGCTGACATCAACAAAAGTAAAATAGGCAAAGAATACTGTGCACAATAAGAATGGACAAGTGGGTATAAAGGTAATTTAGCTTAAACTTTGATCAAGATACCCTTCTTCTCTTCCACTTTCCGCCCAAAACTGGAAGGAAAAAAAATGGCAGACAGAGTGGATTAAACTTCATTCCCATTTTTCATTCCACTGTGTTTTTCTTTCATACCAAACGAGTGAAAATTTTTTCTTTCCCTCCATTTTTCCTCCTTTATTTTCCATCCACCATTCTTTCCGTCGTACCAAACACGGGGTAAAAGAAAAAAAGAAAAGGCAATAACTTTGACAACTTTTTTGTAATCCAACATGTAGATGAAACACATTAATTAAACGGTTAATAACATTTTTGATCTTTAAATTGTACATTTTTTTGTCAATTTAATTCTCAATGTATCAATTTTGTCAATTTGATTCCTAAAATATTCAATTCGTGTTATTTTGATCCTCACGTAAACATACTGTTAAGTTTTTGACAGAATGATTACGTGTTAGACACGTGATACTTTCTTAAAAAATGATATGTTGCCACTTCTATTAAAAAAATTTACCGGTCTATTTATGTAGAGATCAAAATGACACGAATTGAATACTGTAAAGACTAAATTGAAAAATTAAGAACTAAATTGACCAAAAATACATACTTTTTTATTAACCCTTAATTAAATTTGAGCCTTATACCACAGTTAAACTCGAATTTAGAACATCCAAATTTATATACTTTGTCACTCGTTCAACTACATGGTTGAGCAAAGGATCATAGTTTCCATGGTATTCTACTTCTATTGCAAAGCAGATTTCATTGTGAGTGTACATATATAATAGTGCGATCATATAATTTCTAGTGAAAACTTTTTACTTGCATATATATATTGCATCATTTTTGACAGCTTTTGCTCAACTTGCAGAGTGACAATATCATCATAAAATCTTGAGGCAACCTTCTCATTGCTTAGGGAAGGAGAGGGATGATCATGAATGAAAAGGATCTTCACAAAGTTTCACGAGGCATAAAATTGTTCTATCAGACAGATGTGTGTGTGTGTGTGTGTGTGTGAGAGAGAGAGAGAGAAGGGGGAAGGGGGGACAAAAGGGTAGTAAATCCAATGACTCTTTTCTTTATCCGGTCTGTTAGGCTGAAACCACCATGTCATTTTGGTCACCCTGTTCGGAGTGTCTCATACTTGCTTTGAACGGAACAGGAACAGGAACAGCTCTTTGGTCAAGAATAATAATACATTGGTTTGGTTTGTCAGTGAGTCCTTCCAAAATTGGTCTCTTTTGCCTGGCTTCCAAATATTATTACCTGTAAGTCAGGCAAGGTTGTACGCTATATGGTAAAAATTAAATATTATCATTGATGGTATTGTAAAATTGTTATACATTGTGAATTCGATTTGCAGATTTCATATATATATAATCTTTTTGATCTTAAAGTATTGATAAACTTTCGTGAACTGGGTTTACATGTGTAATACTTTTTGTCATCTTACAAAAAATCATTTGTTACATTTTTCCTTTCAATTAAGAATTTTTAAAGACCTCAATTTGTAATTTTTCGTAATAATAAGTAGACGACGACCCAAAAACAACCGGTAAGAGAGGGAGAGGGTGGTGAAGACACCATATCTGCCTAAGTCAACACACTAAGTTTCACATTAATTAGTAGCATGATGATCTTATGAATCACTAAGTAAATTTCAATTGCTACATTCTTTAAAATTCTCTCTCTCTCTCTCTCTCTCTCTCAAACTATGCATCATACAAGACTGCATACAGACCCTTTTTTTGTGTTATTTTCAATAGAGGTGATTGCTTAGGTCGTACAAAAGTTGGTTGATATACAAGGGGCATGATTAACAGCCTCTTGCAAAAGAATAATTGGAGGGGGGGCACCTTGGGGGAGTACCATTTTCCATGGTCATCACTGCAAGTCTGCAACATAGCTTATAGACCTCTAACATAGACCATTCAATCATATATAATTATCCTGATGACCATATATATATGTGTGTGTATATATATATACACTGACTTATAAATTATATGTACCATGGAATTTCTCAAAAATATTTAATTAAAATTTATTTACCATAAAATATGTGCAGTTAGGGAAAGGTGGGGCCAGGTGTGGTGGAGGAATCCAGCAAAGTGGAGTTTGGATCACGCGGGCAGTTTGTTAGACTTCTCACATGATCCACTAATCTACACCTTGCCTTTTCAACGATTTAGACCCACACACCCTTCGATTAGGGCACTTGTCCTTTTTTTTCTTTTTTGACTATTTTGTCCTCCTCATTTTATTCAATTGCCACATATATCCTTATGAATAACAACATATAATTATTAATATCGTACCACATGAGATACGTATTGTACGATACAAAAAAAAAATAATACTAATTATATGTTAGAATCATTTTTACATCATATTGCATGATACATGATACGATACGTATTGTTCGATATATATGATACGTGAAGAATCTGTTTAATTTTTATTTTTTTTTAGTTTTTCAAGGCTAAAACAATATTGTTTCACTTAAAGATTATTTTTTAATCCCTATAACTACTGAAATGACGTCATTTCAGGGCTAGAGTTTTTAACAAAATAAAGACTGTCTTTTTTTTCATCGGCAAAGACCAGAGAAGCTATCCACCAAAAGAGCAGAAGGGAGAAGTTATCGATTGCGACTGGACCGCAACTCCCATCAACTGCCTTCTGTGAAGGTTTTTTTCTTCTTCTTCTTCCTTTAGATCTGGGAAGTTCTTCGACTAGATTTGCAAAGGATCTTCAACTGTTTGAATTAGGCTATGACTGTTTCAAAATTTGAATTAGTGATTTTTGTATTTTGATATTAGTGAACTATATTAGAAATTTAAATAGTTGATAGAATATTCATGAAATACTATGTTATTATGAGTCTATAATATTTTTACAAAAGTATATATATTTTATTAATAATTATTTAAAATTACGTCATATCTTATGATATACAATACGAAACGATACGATACATTATGTTTAAAAAATAATATGTCTTTCGATACGTGATTTGACTACTATGATTAACAATGCTTAATTACAATCAACTTCACGTCTAATAGATGTATGGTTGAGATGGTTGTCGATCTCCGAAAATATATCTATATAGGTTTTCCTACTCTTATTAATTATATGGGATATTGCTCACATATGACTTGACTAATGAAGTGCATTTAGGAGAATTTGATTAAGTAAAAAGTTTCCATAAGAGAGTACAATCATTGATAAATAAATGGTTACTCTCTCATAGTTCTCGTATTTAGTGTACGGAATTCCTATTTTATAACGGTGTTCAAAAAAGATTTTGGAATTTAATTTTTAGCTCAAACCCATGGCATATTTTTTGGGCCAACCTCATAGATATGTCCTCTTTTATAAGACGGACACCCTTAATCGTCGAAATAAAAATAAAAAAAAAAACTTCTTCCACTACAAAAAGAAAAAGGATTTAGAATTTTCTTGAACAATACATGAGAACTTGACTCCTACAACTTGCCATTTTAAAATTAATTGTAATACTTTATCAGATTTCATTACTCATAATAGCCCATCAATACCATGTCCCACCTTCTTTATGCCTTGCTAAAATTGTCAAGGCATCATCTTTGAAGTTAACATGGATAAGACCTAATCATTTTTCAAAGCATGAGCAACACAACTTAATATATAAGTCTATGGTGTCATACATACAAAAATACTCACAACTTCCCAAATATAGTAGTGAAATGGTCCACACCATCTTATTATTAACTTGGCCCTAAGCCCCTAACCACTAATTTAAGAAAAAAGACAAGCATGGTACTGACAAGTTGGATATAAAATAGAAAGGTAAGGGGCATATCTGTCAAAAAAGATGGAACCCCCCCCCCCCCCCCCCCCACCTTCTTTCCGATTCTTCTTCCTTTTTTTCTCCTCTACCTCCCTCCCTCCCTTTCTCAAACTCCACCCACACCCCAAAAGGAGTACTGTTCATATAATTGGCCACCATATACCCTGTCCTTTAAACACATGAGGGCAAGCAAACTCCTCATAACCGCCTCCTCCTCCTTCTCTTTCATGCTTCATCTTCTTCAACCTCTGTAAAATCATAGCCCTAACCCTCATTACATTCACGGCCATGGACAATAACCAACCACCACATGGCCTCACCCCACAAGATTTCTCCGAGCTACAACCCCTTATTCAAACCTACCACACCTTCGACCCAACCCCACCAAACACATGCACTTCTCTCATAACCCAGCGCATCGATTCTCCAGCCGACTTTGTGTGGCCTTTCGTTCGACGTTTCGATAACCCCCAGAAGTACAAGCACTTCATTAAGAGCTGCAACATGACTGGCGACGGCGGTGTCGGTAGCATAAGAGAAGTCACCGTCGTCTCGGGAATTCCGGCGTCTACGAGCATCGAACGGCTGGAGATTTTGGATGACGAAAGGCATATTCTGAGCTTTAGGGTTGTGGGTGGTGAGCACAGGTTGAACAATTATCGATCTGTGACGTCGGTTAATGAGTTTAAGAATGATGGGAAGGTTTACACCGTTGTTTTGGAGTCTTATATTGTTGATATACCAGAAGGTAATACTGGGGAGGACACAAAGATGTTTACAGACACGGTGGTGAAGCTGAATCTTCAGAAGCTTGCGGTGGTGGCCATGGCCGCTTTGCATGGACATGAATAATTGTGACACCGTGGACGGTGGTAGTGGTGGTGGGTCAGGTATGAATGGTGGTGCAAAATAACTACCTGGTTATGACGGATTAAATATTAAATGTAACAGTGATATCACGTTATTATTGGCATTTATATTTCCGTCCAATGATAATCCTAATTCGTACAAGTGATCGCTCATTATTGTCATTTGCATGATCTAATCTTTCAATGATAAACTTAAAAGTGAGCTCAGTAAATCTCATTTCTTATCTTGCATGAATATGGTAGTTATTAAATCATATGAAATTCAATAATTTATATTTTAATTTATTATTAAACGATGATATTACGTGACAGCGATAACAGGGTGATGAATTAATTTGTTTGACATATCCTTAGTGGTTGGCATATGGTTTCTTGCAAGTTGGAATTGGTTTTTGTATATTTTAGGTTTTTCGTTGAGTAGATGTGAATTCAGTTGTGTCTGTGTGGCTGTCATGAGTCATGACTCATGAACACTTGGACATTTTCTTTTTTCAATGAATGACAGACTCTTCAATCACGAGGCAATGGTCAAAAACAAGCTTTTTTTTTCGTTAGCATTTGTCTGGGTTCTGCAAGTTGGAATTGTTTAGGGTATTTTTAATTGGCCATTCTTTCTTCAGGTTATGATGAATTTCATGAAAGTTTTCTGAACAATTATCTTGTATATATATTTATGGTCAATAACGAAGTGAGAATAGGAGTGTAGATTTAGGTAGTTCTTACAATCCCATGTTCGATTTGTGAAAAAAAAAAATACCTTTCTTGACCCATTTTGTATGGTTTATAACATAATCACCGGTTTAAAGAATATATGGTTGAGACGATTCTTGATTATAAGAGAAAAAAAAGTGTTAGAAATGTACATTATTAATCTATTCAGTGTATATCTATGTCTTCTAGTGCTTTGAGTGTTAATGATGAAAATGGACAATGTTCTAGTTCTTTGGATTTGCTATAAGGTTCATAGAGTATTTCTATCTAGTGTCTGCTTATAGCTGAATCATGAGACTTTCGCACAGAGAGAGAGGAAGAGATGATTGTCTTGGTTGGTAAGCAACTTGGTGCAATGCCTTTTCGTGTGGCTTCAATGTCAACCCCTCATTCAATAAAAGGACAAAGATAGATCTTGAGGAACTTGTGAGCAACTTTAAAGCAACATGTGCTCATGAGATTAATGGATAGAACAGTCACTTTAACTCTGAAAATACAGTAATGTCACACCAAGTACAATGATGGGTGTTTTTGAATCTTTGATTATTTATCCAAAGTGATTATCCACATATATTTAAAAGTCGAAACAATCTCATAATTATCAGCTCAAATATTTTACGAATGCCTATTTTTTTGTTTACTATATTTGTTAAATAGTTATTTTTTGTTTTTGATAGAAATCTTTTGATTGTTTGATCAAATTAAAATTAGATATTAATTATATAATTGTAGACAAAAAATAATTATTTAACGAGAATTTTAGGCAAAAAATAAATATTTTTATAATTATGAAAAAAATATTAAATAGTGTTATATAAATTGTCATAAATATGAAATATACGCATAATGCAATTGACTCGACACGAAAATATTTTGTGTTAAAAATATTTTTTTATTGACTTAAATACAACACAAAAATGATACGATATGACACAATAATATGATACGACACAATTGAGAGGTATTCAATAAGTATTAATGGAAGAAATTTTTTTTTAATCATAAATGTAAAATATTTAAATTTTGAAGGTGCAATTTGTAATTATCCCAAAATTTTTTAACTGCAGTTAACCTCTAGTGCATATTAATATAAATTTATATCTTTCAAGGTATAAATTGATATTTTAAAATTTTTGAGGGTGTAAATTGATATTTAAATAATCTTTTAAGGTACAGTTGAGATGAGCGTTAAATTTTAAGTGAAGTGGTAATCACGCTAAGGCTCTATTTGGATGTCGATAATTTTGATTGAAAATGAGATTCTCATTTCTAATTCCTAAATTATCATGTTTGGATTATTAATTATTTAGTAAATTAACTCGGGAATAAGATATAGATCCATCAATATCTTCTATTGAGATAAGATGATCATAGGCTAAATGATTATGTTTATCTTCTGCATTTCTCACCTTATAAATAGGATTAAGCTCCATGTAATTGATTACTTTCAATAATACATCGATGTAGTCCACAAGAGGTTATGTCCTTTGTTGTAAGTAATTTGTCGAACTACGTTAATTTTCTGTGTCTTGTTCTCATTTATTTTATTATCTCCAATATCTTATAAACTTCTTCAAACCCATTGTTAATGATGGTAGTCTCATATCGACATTAATTGAGTATTATAGAGGGAATAAAATTTTCAAAAACGAAGTTCCTTCCTAAAATTAAAATTTTCTCCTAAAATAAATCTCCTTTCTAAAATTAAGTCATTTCCTAAAATAATTTGGCAATAACTTTAATTCCCACACTAAATTACTGACAATAATCAAATACAAAATATTAGATTATTATAGTAATATTCATTCCTAATTAATATTACTATCATACAAATAGGCTTGTTTCCCGTATTCATTCTTTTATTGCTCTTGTTTGATTTATTGTAGGGTTTTTTGGAAGTTGGTACATCTAATTAGATTTATTTGGCAAAAAATACATAGAACAAAATGTGAGTTAAAAAGACATAAATGCCCATTTTAGGGTCATTTAATTCAAAATCTTTTATTTTTAATGCACCTTGATTAATGTGTATTTGTTAATATATATAAATACGTATTTAATGCACCTTAATTCATGTATTTTTCTTAATACATGTATATATACGAATATATATACGTATATATATACGTGTGTATATATATATATGTATAAATAAGTATATATATTCATATATATATACACACACACACACACACACACACATATATATATATTTTTTATTTTTTTGTTAAATCTCTTATTTAAATTTTGAATTATCTTTAATACGCATTAATTCATGCGTATTTTTTTTTGAAAAATGATTTTGTTTTTAAATTATATTTAATGTACCTCAATTCAAGCATTTTTTTTTTAGAAAATAGTTTTATTTTCAAATTGATTTAATATCCGAATAATCTAATAGTATAACAACAATGTAACAAAAACACTGTAACAAATACACTGTAATAAAAACAGTGTTCAGTAATTTTGTGTATATGGTTCAAATTCAAAACGGAGATGAACTATTTTGAATGAAATTATATAAAACTATATGTTTGACAAAATGTAATAGTACAATATTTTGTGTAAATAGTTTGTTACACTATTATTATTATATTGATACATTATTAGTGTTACATTGTTACACTTTTATTGTTACACTGTTATTGTTACACTTTTATTATCACACTGTTATTGTTACACTATTCGGATATTAAATTAATTTGAAAATAAAACCACTTTCTAAAAAAAAATGCATGAATCAAGGTGTATTAAAAGATAATTCAAAATTTAGATAAGAGATTTAACAACAAATATATATATATATATATATATATATATGTGTGTGTGTGTGTGTGTGTGTGTGTGTGTATTAAAGTTTTTCTATAAAATTAGGAGATGTTTAATGCACCACTTTTCAAAGAAAAATGGTGCATTAAATACACATGGATTAATGAAGGGCAAAAATGTCACAATAAAAATAAATAAATTCAAATTATATACTTGAATACAAATAAGTATAAAAATTAAATATTTAATAATCCTACATTTTTTAGTGTGTACTTTTTACCAAATACTTCTAATTTGGTGTACCCCTTACAATTTACCATTTATTGTATTGTCTTCAAAACCCCTTGTCGTGAGAAACCTTCATAAGCCCATAATAGCAAGCTATCTTGGGCCACAATGACTCTATGAGCCCATTGGAAATTCAGTTAAGCCCAAGTTTTCACGCTAGCCTGAGCCTCATCGTTCTCCAGCCCAGCCCGTTCTGTCACAGAAAGCCCAATTTAGTACTATCTAATGCCCATCCAAACGAATGAACCAAGCCCATCAACAAGTAGACTTTGGATCGGATTATAGCCGATGAAAAATTGAATCAAGCTTTCGGGTTTAGCATTGACCAAGTCGTTATAGGTTCATTCCAAGTCAATTCTTCTAAGAAACAAACAAGCTACGTTTACACACATTTTCAAACTCGTTAACTTTGGATATACACCCAGACCCACTAAGCTTTGTCATTAAAACACTTGAGCCCCCTACAGTATGACATATTGTCATACACCAACATCCCTTAATAGTAACAGAAAGCTAACGTATATAACAGAAGTTATGAAAGCTAACGTAAAAATCAATAAGCCCAAAACTATCCCAATCTGTATTTACCCATATTTGACCCGACCCATGCTCCGATCAACCCGAGGGAAACCTAAAATGTAACCCTAAAACATCTTCTCCCTTTTTCTCCCTCCATTGCTTGGTTAAGCAGTACCACCACCAACCCCTCCACTCACAACTCCTTACTTAACCATCACAAGCACCATTCTCTTCCATACCCAACCCTAAATTTATGGATAAAATTATAATTTTTAATTTTTTTTTTCAAATATTGTATATCAAATAATTGAACAATATCTTATACATTGAATGTTTAATGAAAATTAGTCAACCCTGTTGATCTAACCATCCGAGGTAATTTAAAATGCAAATGAGTCAGGATCCTCGGAAGCAGATCCTAATAATTATTTTCAATAGGATCTACTCATTCAAGGGTTTCTATTAATTTGGGATTCCATTTGTATCCCAAATGCGTGAATTTCGCTTAAATATTAAGATCCACTAATAATCCAACAATCACAATTATCATATTCTCAAATTATGTCTCTGGTAGGGGTGGAACTCGGGCGGGTTGGACAATCAACCCTACCCCAACCCTAACTTTAATCTTAACCCTAAACCCTACTTTGGGTTGGAGAACTTAACTCGAGCACTGCCCAAGTTTAATTTAGGCGGCTCAGATTTTGGGTTATTTTACGAGTTCAATTTGGGTAGAGCCTAAAATAAGCTTGTTGTTCTGAACCTAATACATATATTACATAATATTCACATAAATTAACAACTAATAACTTCAATCAAGTTTTTAACGAGAAACTGAGAGAACGAGAGAGGCAAAGAGAACGAGATAGATAGAGAACGATAGAACAAAAATGAAAAATCAGTGCTAATGCTTTATTTATATATATATATATATAATTTTTTTTTTATTTGTCGGGTTCGAGTTGAACTCGGGTTCACGAGGCCTTAACCTGAGTCCAACCCAAATTGAATTCAGGTTGATATTTTTTGATTCAAGCTCAACCCAAATATTAAAAAATTTTACCCACGTCGTAATTTTTTCGGGTTAGACTCAGGGTAAAATTGGGTTGCCTAACCCAAATTACACCCCTAGTCTCTGGTTTGTAAATAAAGACAAACTCACTCCCACCTACCATGAGAAACAACTAACGCATCAACTTCCATGGCCAGAAAAAACATCCAAACAAACAAACAAAAAATGGGGTAAAAAAACTACTTTAATAAATTGGACATGTATTATTTGACTGCGGTATCAAAAAATTTTTTTGTACCATAGCTCTATTTATTATATTTATGGTTGTTTTTATTATATTTGTGCGTATTTTTATCATTATTATTGTACCTAAAAAATAAGTAAAAAAAATTATCACAACAATAGTAAAAGTATCCACAAATATGATAAAAACACCCGCAAATATGATAAAATCACTCATAAAAGTGATTTTTTTTTTGGGTACCGAAGAAAAGTAATAAAAATAGTTATCACAAATATAATAAAAACAATTACAGCAATGGTAAAAAAACCTATAAAAATGATAATTTACTCACAAAAGTAATACTTTTTTTTTTATTATAAAATGACCTACAAAAAAATATGAGAATACCTGTTAGTAAAAATTGGAACTGCCATATTAAAAAAAAGACTTTCGGTAGCAATTGAGGTAAGATGACAATCAATGGTATAGTACACGACCGAAAGGGTCCTTTAATGCTATTTTATTAGGGTCTATTTTTAGCACATCATCGTTGATGATATCATAAGTTAGTGGACTACGGTATAGACTGTGGCAGCAGAGATTACTTACTCTTTGTTTGATATGACATTAGAATGCAACTTGACTATGTTCTCATTGTTTTTTTAGCTGTAATAAGAAACTATATTGTCATAATATTAGTAAATGCATTGCTGGGTGAAACTATGTCGATTTCTCCCTCTGTACAAATTATTTGATTATTCTTTGACATCACCCTACTCTCACCCTCCCCCAACTCACAATTTCTTTTTTTTTTTTTGTAACAATGAGGAGTATTTAGGTCAATTAATATACACGTGGATTAATCCATTTTTCGATTCGATCAAAGACAACCCACAATATCAATTAAAGCTATGCATTTCAAATAATGTAGCGAAATCTTATATATTGAAGGGCTTGACAAGATAGGTTTGAGAAAAATAATCAAAAGTTCCCTCACAATATTGGATATTACATGTGTATGTGTTACATATCAAACATGGGTATGAACCGAATTGAATATTAAATCTCATATTTACAAAAAGGAGTTTGAGTTGGAAAAGATTTAGAAAAGTCAATCTAACCCCTCCCCAAAATTCATCCAAATAAGCCCCGAATGTATTAGTTGTAGTGAGTGACGATCATTAATCAAGTCGCCTACGTTGATTTAGTATAAAAAAATTATATAAGAATTACAATGCTCTCTCACAATATTGGTGAACCCAACCCGAAACCATTAGAGAGTAATAGCGGGATTAGGTATTAAATAAATGATTCTTTAACATCAATTAAGTAAATAAATTGACACAAGTCAAGATAAACACTGATTATATATAATCCGACATGAACACAAGAGAATAGTGTTTGCATTTTGTTAACCACATCTGTCGTATTTATTTATTTATTTATTTATTTTTTAACTAAGGGAATATGGATGAAGTTTGGTAAGTATCTTTTTACTACTCGTGATTGATATTGTCGTAAAGAAAAACAAAATAAATTCATATTTTATTATTTAAAAACTCTCTCCATGAATAAAGAAATGTTGCAGGAATCATCTATTGGATTAACTATTTCTCCGCTATAAAAGGGTGGCGAATGCAAACAAAATAGGAAAAATGACAAACATTTGTTTTTTTAGCAACAATTTTTGTAAGAAAACAAGAATTAATTACTTATTTGACCCTTGAATTATATCGTTTACGTCACTCAAGTTCCTAAACTACATTTTGTGTCAATTAGCTCTTAAATTATACAATTTTACTTAATGTAGATCTTTTCATAAATTTCGTTGTTCCTTTGATAGAAATTCTCACATGCACATCACGTGAATTAGAGATTAGGTTATGGTTTAGGGATACATGATGTGCACGTGAATATTTTCACCAAAATTAAAAGTAAATTTGGATAAAATGACCACGTTGAGTCAAATTACATGAACAATATAAAAGTGACACTTTAATTAATATAATGAAATTAACCCGTGTTTGTCCTAGAATAAAAAAGAATAGAAGTGAATTTTACAGTTATATTTAGAAAGTTTGGTATCATTTTAATTACACACTATTTTTTAAAGTGCAACAAACAGTGGAATAAATTTCCTCCTAAGAATAAAAAAAAATGAGATTCACTAACTAAGGATAAAACTACCGGACCAAAAAGCGTATAATGCCGAAAATTACAATCTTTTTGAATTAAATTATAAAAAAAAAATTATATCAACCTTATGATATTAATGTCTATCCCAAACAATCCCATTTGTTGTAATTTTACTAAATTAAATCATGATCTCACTCTTAATCCACATAAATTTTGATATGATATTAAATTTATCACTAATACTATTGGGACACAATTGAAGAACATAATAATAAGTTGTCTTCAATGAAATGATAGTAAAATATATTTAATGATAAATTCTATTGTAACATTAATAAATTTATTATCATATTATTAATAATATCTTATTATATTCTTTAATTATGTTTATAAATTATGTCTTAATATCATTAGTTTAAATTTATTACATTGTTCTCGATGTATTGGACCATTAGTCCTCTCATAGTTCAATCTTAGAGGCAAACTCTCCCAACCGTACAAAGCCAAAAGTAGTAGATAGGCTCTGTAACTGCACCCCAATAAATTCGTCAAAGATCTCCCACCAGATTTTCACAAACCCACCTTTAAATTTTGCTTGCATCATCATTTTCTGCTATCTTCTCACTCCTAAAACTAAAAGTACACTGCTTGTGTAACAGTACCACTCTTCTCTCACATCTAATTGCCTTAGCCCCTTAGTTGTTAGATTCAGGCTACTAAAGCATGTTGTATTGTTACTCTCTTTACTGTTCTTTCTCATCACATTTGGTTGTTGCCTTGAAATAGCTAAAAAGCAGAGGACTTTTCTCCTCCACCCCTGAAAAAATGAAGCTCAGAGGACCTGCCATGAACAGGAGTTTGAACAGAAGGAATCCAGATGTTTTGGTTGTGATGATTGCAGAGAAACAGATAATGAGAGGTAATGAGGAGGACAAAGGAGATCAGTTCTCAGAGATGAGAGACAGAGGGATGGGCCCTCTAAAGGCTGCAACAGATATGAGTGGAACTGCAGCACTAAAGAGTAATGTCCTCTTTCTCTCTCTGTATCTCTATGTATTTGTTGTTACCCTTGTGTGGCTCTCTCTCTCTCTCTCTCTCCCCCTATCTTTTATACTGGGTCCATTTGATTCATTCCAATACACTCCCTCCCTGAAGAGCCCCTTCTTTTGGCTTTTTAACCCTCTTTCTTGCCTTTATTGTGTTTTATCTGAGATGATTGTCCTCTACCTTCAATAACCATTTGTGTTTAGCCATAAAATCTTGAGTAGTGGTCTTTGAGTGAGCGAGAGACAGACTTTGAAAGAGATATAGTGAGAGGGAGCAATCATGATTCTTGATGGGGTCTGAGACTGAATTTTCAGTTTCTTGGGTTTTGGGTTATTGAATGAAATCCCACTTTTCTGTTCATGCAAAGGAAACAACCCACTTTTGCACTGGCTTTTTATTCATTTTTTGTGGTTTTTAGGATGGTGGGGTTAGTGCACGAATCCTTGTTAGCTTTTTCACCTTGTCCTCTTTGTTAAAGATGGGAAAAAAAAAAAACCTCTCTTTTAACCGTGTTTATGGCTTTTCATTTGTATACTGTTTGGGGAGAAAGGGAAAACCAATGATTTCTTGTGAATATTGCACTTCATTCGCTTGTTTTAGATTCTCTGAGAAAACCTGCATGTAGTGCCAATCAATGCAGAATCAGTCTACTGTCTCTCTATAATATTGGGAACATTTGAGTTCTAAAATGGGAAATCTCATGAACCTACGTATAACTTGTTGACCCCATCAGGTTCTTTTGACAAGCCTTGGTGGAGGAGAAGCTGCATTTCCAGAGTTTGGATTGTTGGTGGGTGATAATTTCTCTGCAACTGATTGCAAGGTTGGTTATTCTCACATTTTTCAACTTCAGGTCTCTCATTTCACCATTTCTCTTCTTGTTGTAATCTTGTTCTGGCTTTGAACTCTTCCATTTTGATCTAACTGAACCTCAACTGAATTGTTTAAATTGTGGGACTTCTAGTTTTTTTGTCTTCTTTTCATTCTAGCTTGTTAACTATATTGTAATTCTTCTTAATCTCATCCTATGATTCTACCCTAGCTATGGTTTTAGAGCTCTCAGCTTTGTTTCCAATCCACCTTCCTATTGTTTTAAACAAGCTGGAATGCCAGACCAACTTTGATGTTGGTGGCTTCCTGTGCCATGAACCTTGAAACAATCAGAGGAGTAACATGAGAAAGAGAGGATATAAGTGTTAGTTTTGTTTATTTACTTCTAATCCCAGTAGGTTTTGGATACAATCAGAGGAGTAACATGTGAAGGAGAGGATATGAAATGTTAATTTGTTTATTTACTTCTAATCCTGGTAGGTTATGGTCAATTCATCGTTTTTTAGCTATGTAAATTAGATACAAACATAGGTTGTGCTGTTCAATTTGGCCGCAAAAACTTTTGAACACATCAACCTGTAATGCCCTTTTGAGCAGAGTGGATGTAAAGGTCAACAAAATTGTCCTTTTTTCATAGCAGAATGATGGTTAGCACTGGGGTGCTGAAAAACTATTTTTCAGTATCATACTTCATTTCATTTTTTTTGTCTGAGTACATAACACGAGTAAAGTTTTTTCCATTTAATTGTTTTCCTGATTAATTGTTCCGTTTTCCCCAAAAGTTAAAACGTCTCAAATCAAAATTAGTTGAAAATGCTCTTTGGAAGGTTATTCCGCGCTACCGCACAGCCAGTGCAGCCCGTGGAATGATGCTGGTAGATAACTTTGGATTGTCACTGTTCTAGGCATTCTTCAGTATAGAAGCACTGACCATATATGTTCATCTTAAACATTACTTTTGAGATTTTGTGTTAATTTACTAAAGTAATTCGCATATGTACCTCCTTTTATTTTTAGCCGAGCCACTCTGTAAATACAGGAGGAAGGGGATATATCTGTATCAAATTGCATAGTTGTCCCCGTGTTCTTTGGCAACCATAGTTTCCACCTTTTTCACAGTCCTCCTTGTAATGGAAGGCAATGTTATTAATTCGGATCCCTGACTCTTCATTCTATTGGATGATGCCCATCACTACTTCCTTTCAGTTCTCGTTGATATTAGGACTTCCATTGACATTTCGGCCAAGTTGAGACGTTAGATTAGATTTGGTGGAATAAATAATGGTTCCTCATTGCCTGGTAAAAAATGATATTCAAACCATAGGCTTGGTCTACACTTGCCCCCAAATGGATTTGGAATTGTTTTGCAAGTTTCTCTCTCTATTTTTTACCACTAAATGGATTAATTCTGATCTTATAATTGATATTTAATATTGTATTTTGGGAATGACCTTGGAGTACTATTTGAATTTTTCAGCTTAAGTCACTTGGCAGCTGTTTTTCAAACAACCCGTGTTGTGGCAATCCATTGAAGTGCAACATAATGTCCACTGGAATTTGGGCTAACCTGGCCTAATCCCTCCAATCTCACAGAGGGGTCAGCGTCAGGGACAAAGGACGCTTCTTGATGAGCAAAACTGTGCTGGTATTGCTAATTGAGACTTGGAGCCCTGAGAATGATCTAGAAGCTCTTTATATCTAATCCCCTTCAATTCTTTATAGTCAGAGTAGTATGGCAGAGAATAATGTATTCAATATGTCAATGGATATGGATATGGATAGCCAAAACCCCATTGTTACAGATGGAATTTTTGCACATATGAGATCAGTTTCTCTTGCTCATACTGATTCCCTTGATCTGAACAACCAAAATCACATTATAAAAGGTTTTCCTCTCCCTGCAATGCTGCAAGGTGAACCCATAAACAATCTCCATGCCTGTCTTCACTTACCAAATCATCCCAGGATTGCTGATTCTGATGCTTTTGCACTAGAGAATACACAGCTCCAAAGAGGTGCCCTTAGAGATCCTTCAATTGGCAGTTCATGTCCAATTAATGACATTGAGAGTCAGGTCCAACTTATGACTGGAATACCCATTTCCACTACATCAGATGCCACCCTTTTGGCCTCACCATTTGCATATGACTGCTCCAATACGATAAATTCTTCATTCGGAACTTCTGTGAACTCCGGGTATGATGGAACACTTGGTAATATGAGCAGCCATTGGGATTTGGACAAGTTTATGGCTCCTTCAGAACTTGCTAGGATAGTCCCAGTAAGAGCAGGATTTCAACCACTCCAATCGATGGGCAACATAGATCCGAATGGGTGGATATCATCAGAAAATACCAGTGTAAACTCTGATGGTCCTGGCTCTTCTAGATTTGGTAATGAGCTGTCCTTAAGTCTTGCTACATGCCAGCCTTCGGTTATTTGTGCATCAACAATCCAGGATCAATGCTCGGACTTAAGCTGTTCTGTTGTAACTAACCATTCTTGCGGCAGTAAAAATCTTTCTTCGAGTATTGGTTCTTATTCACAACTGGTATCTGGATCAAGATATCTGCATGTGATGCAAGAAATACTTGCTGCTATTGCTAGCTATTCACTTGAAAATCTAGACCAGATGAGTTATCCGGCAAATGGTGGTGGGGCTGGTGCCAGTTTTTCATTCTCTTCTAGTCTACCTGCTGGGAGAGGCTGTTCAGTACTGGGTTCTGGTGACTTTTTTGATGATGGTAGAGTTGAGGGTCAAATAGACTCCATGTTCCAAGGACGACAAGTTGTAGCAAAGAAAAAACATTTGCTGGCTTTGCTACAAATGGTATGTTGGAATTATATGATGCTAATGATTTATACAATTCTAGATTTTACTTTATGGCAATACTGGTGTTTCTGAAACTAGAAACATTCTCCTCACTATGCGATGTTATTGTCATATTTTTCCTTATTCAGGTTGATGACCGATGCAGCCAATGCTTGGATGAGATTCATACGGTGATATCTGCATTCCATTCTGTAACTGAGTTGGATCCCCATATACATGCTCGTTTTTCTCTTCAAACCATCTCGTTCTTGTATAAAGACCTGAAAGAGAGAATCAGCAATTACATCCTTGCAATGGGTGCATGTTTCAATAAAGGAGGTATTAGAGAAGATGAGGCGTCTTTTGAGACATCTTTTATCCAAAAGCAGTGGGCTCTACAACAGCTAAGAAGAAAAGATCATCAGTTATGGAGGCCACAGAGAGGCCTACCAGAGAGATCTGTCTCAGTTTTGCGGGCGTGGATGTTTGAGAACTTTCTTCACCCGTAAGTTACTCTATGACTGTGCTTTCCATCTTTAATTTCTTATAAAAACTCTGCAAAATTCCTTGCAAATTGGTTGAAACACATAACATCCCTGAACCAGGCAGCCTTTGTCCCTTGAAGTTTAATTCAAGATAGTATCATCATTGCACGTGAGGCTTTCTTTCTGCTGCCTAAGGCATAGAAAGAACGGGGAAAGGGTAGAATTGGCACTCAAGCTTGATCTCAACAAAACATAGGACACGGTGAAGTGAGATCTTATATGATATAACTTGTTGATATTCCAACTTCAATCCATGTTGAATAGCCATATGATATTTAGTTACAAATACATTACAAAATCCAACTTCTATATTTATTGTTAATCTCTAACAAATTAATAGTTAGGACAAGTCGTTGTTGGGTTTTATGCAACATGTCCTAACGATCATAAAGTGTCCTAATGCAAATACAAAGACTGGGGAACTTTTCACCCTCTCTCTGTAATATAACCTTGTCATAACTATAGTGACACTCTTAGTATTAGAAACATGGAAATCTGCTATTATCATTCATTTTGAAAGTTGGTGTTAGTTTAAACTTCGAATTTTATGGATTCCAGGTACCCAAAGGATGCAGAGAAGCATTTGCTTGCAGTTAAAAGTGGATTGACAAGGAGCCAGGTACTACACAGCCCTAAAACTCTATATTGCACCGGTACATTAGCAGCAATGAAGTTGCATCTTTTTCATATAGTCCTTTGTGTGCAAAATGCAGAACCGCTATTATTTGTATCGTTCAGTAGTTTTTCTTCTTTGCAATGAGAATTTTTTCGTAAGAAACGACTACCAAAAAAAGTTTTTTTTTTTTTTTTCTCACTGTCAATTTTTACTATCCTAGTGAAGCCCTCAATGGTGTATGCCAATCTGTGTTTCATCCATGCAACAAGAAATGATGTTCATGAACAACAGTGGGTATTAGTTGTTACTATTCTCAGTTTATGACTATACTCATCGTATCATTTCACCGTGTGGGCTTATAAACAGGTATCCAATTGGTTCATAAATGCGCGAGTTCGTCTTTGGAAGCCAATGATAGAGGAAATGTACGCGGAGATGAATAGGAGAAAAGGCCGTCGTATGGATGAAGAAACCAACAGCAATCGAAGAAACCAACTAAGCATCGTCAATCGAAGATTTTAAAAAGATCAAAAACCAGTAAGAAGGTATATATATATATATGTATTGCAAATAGCAGTAAGCTTTGTTAACCATTGGTTGGAGATAGAACATGGTTGAAACTGTAGAAAAATGCTATGTATAATTGAGGGTCAAGTGAAATCTTTATTTTCTATTTAAAACTCTTCAGAATATCATTAGATATTTATGTAATACTATTCTCTCTGTATTTCTTTTTTGTCAAGGGAATTTGTGGTGTTCTCTTCTTTACATTGCAAATTTGAGGAGGATGGACATTTTATATGATCAAGATATTGGAAATGAAGTAAACTTGATGTGGGCATTGTGTTAAGAACTTATAACTTGTGATATTTTTAGATTGGGTTAATAGTATTTTTGGTCTTTAAAGTATGTAATTTATGTGATTTATTGTATTAATTTTGTTAATTTGGTCATTAAAATATTTAATTTGTGTCATTTTAGTTGTTATATAGATAAAATATTAAATTTTTTACGACATGATCATGTATTAGGCATATGATATCATCTAAAAAAATAGCACGTAATCATTTCCTATTTGACGGGTTGTTTAATTAGGGTTTGACAAAATTGATCTTATAAAGATTAAATTAATAAAATATACATAATTTATAGACCAAAAATGTTATTAACTTTTTTTAAATTTGTCAAAGTCAATTTTAATTTGATTTATTTATTTTATTTTTTGGTGAATAGTCCGTTTAATTAATTGTCTGATGACTTGCACATTATTCCTAGGCCTGTCAAAATCTGACACGACACGATTAATTGACACAAAATAAGCGAGTTTGGAGTGATATTTTAACGAGTTTGGGTGGTAAACGAATTAACTTCTTATATATATTTAATAAACGAGTTGTGTTTGGATGAGACATGTTAATTTTTTTTATCACCGTAAAGTTAATAATTATTTTAAAAATAAGAAAAATATTTCATGTAATTTTTTTTTAACAGTAAATAGAGGAAAAGATTTAGAAGGAAAAGAGAATAAAAATCAGAGTCTTTCATTATGTGTCTCAGTTATAAGATTTTAATAGAGTCTCACCATCAAAAGATGTAAAATTATATAGAAACTTTTACTCGTTAACATACTTTGAATGTGAATATGCATCCTCAAGTTCTTTGGCTATTATGTTCTTTCCATAGATGGGAAAATTGATTATTTTGGATTATGGTTTGTACTTTGTAATATGTTGTATATCTCTATATATCACATTTTTTTGTGTTAGTTTCATAAAGTTATATAGTATTTTAAAAAAAACAGGTAAATGAGTTTAACGGGTGATTTATCATGTTAACCCGACCCTACTTAACACAACTCGTTTAAAGCTAAACGGGATAAACAAGTCGTATTCGTATTGAAATTTTTTCCTCGTTTATTAAACTTATTGTGTACGAATTTACATATTTTTCACATGTCTCCCATTTAAAGAAAATAGAAAGGAGAAAGAAAAAAATTAAATTATTAGCTTTGAATATTAACTCAATTATAATCTCAACCACTGCTGTCTATTGCATCCACTAAGAGCAGCAATATGTATACGAAAAATGGCCGGCAAAAAAAAATTCATCTTCTTTTAATCACCAAGAACAATCATCTAATCATTGTTATCAAATTTTTTTCACCAAAAAGTGCACAATAAGAAGTCCGTATTCCTGAAACTTTTATCGGGTCTGAGGTGGATCAAATAACCGCACTCTCATACACTTCTATAAAAACAGATTATTTCCGTAACTCGAACCGTGACATTGAGATTACAATGAAATAACACTCGATGCACCGAGGTTTATGTAGCTTTGCGTAAACACAAGATTGCTCTGCCCACCTTTTATTATGCATATATGCTTTTTGATCAACAGTTATTCCGAGGATGTACAGACAACTCAACCCTCAACCAACATTTGTGATTGCAATTGAAAGAATCTAATCTCCCTCCTTTCTAACTCCCCCCCCCCCCCCCCCCCCCCCCCCCACGGGTCCTCTATTTATGTGTCCTCTTTTTCTTCTATCTACAATCCTCCTGTAATTTCCTTCACTATCAAGTTTCATCAAATCAATTGAGATTACAAGTCCTTGTTACATACATTACAAAATTCCTCCCCCACAACCACCTCCCAGCCCGGGCCATCGATCATGTTTCAGACTTGGAGAGAAATTCTTGTCTTGATTGGTTTCAGCTTGACACCCATGCTTTCCGGTGTGAAAAGCTCTGGGGAGATACACTTCGGGCTCAAGGGGCTTCTTGGGCTGACACTAAACTGAGATGGCCGATAGAAGCCATACCTTGTGAGGAAATACTCCATTGGTATCAACATGGCATCCGGCTGCTCCTCGGTCACCACCGACCCGCATGCCTGAACCTGTACATCCACACAACCTCCATCAATAAAAGCCTATTTCATGGGTCCATGCAAGTTCAATGGTAGGACAAAAACAGTGTAAAACCTGTATTACATACCTCAACTAAGGCACTATATCTTCTATCTAGTTTTGAAGTCATGTGGAGAGCCTCACTGTGGAAGGCAGAGTTGTCTCCAACAAATATTAAGGAACAACACCGGAGTTTCTTTAATCCATCTGTAATGTCTGATCTCCTGTCAGCGAGCCAAAAATGATGTTCATATTTGTCCAAAAGGTGGCATCTAGTTGTATGCGCAAGTTGCTAAAGAGTGGCACTTATTTGGTGCCACACATAACATTAAGGCTGGCCTATACAACCAAAGAAAGACAAAACCTAAACCAAGCATAAACACCATTGTCTTAGGCGTCTAGCCAACATATATTCAATTGAAAACCTCTAAGCCGGCCAATGTTATTTGAACCCTAGAGATAAAATAATGTGTAGACTTCCCCCCTACACACCCCCTGCCATTGAAAACTTGCTAGATCCACCCCAGGTCTCAGGCATCCCAACCCCACCAAAACACAAGTGAATCCCTCCCAAACTACCAACTCCGAAGCATTAAGCCAAGCTGGAAACACACATGCGCAAAGCAGTATTGGCGAGGCTTAGAAGCAATATAAACAACAGCATCCCAAAGTAACATGGGTGAATGTAGAAAATCCTTGGAAATAGGTTTTACCCATTAATAGCTTCAAGAAACCGCAATACATTTGGACTCTGACGCTCACCCAGCAACTGCACAAAGAACAAAGACGTCGTGGAAATCAGACAATGCCCAACTCTTGCCAACTTGATATTGTCATTTTCCAGGTTCTTGGCATACAGCAACTAAAAAAGGAGAATAAAAAAACTGAAGCACTAACTCTTCTGCATGTTTGAACTGTATCTGATTCTGGTACTTGGGCACCGCCACGAACATCCTGCAATATCATTTGATTTCCAATAACCCCGTCAATTCTCAGGGAAATACCAAGATGAAAAATAATAGGAAACACAAAAAATATATGAAAATCTGGAAGCACGAGATACCTTACTGAAGAACCGCATAAGCAACAAGTCCTTCACCAAACCACTCATACCATAAAAGTAAAGTAAATTTGACAACACCTGCAAATAATTTATCATCTTAGGTAAGAAGAAGTTTTATAACACCCATCCCTCCCCTTTATCTCTACATGAAAACTTCCATTAAAAGTTTGAGGAAATGAACCTTATTATACAACCATTCTGTCCAAGAGGGCGCTTTGCATAGAGGGGAAACAACTATCAAACCCAGCACTCGTTGTGAGTATTTTATCTGTGATCGAGAGCAAAACCAATTCAGTAAAATCCCAAAATCTACAAGAAGTCAATTCATAGAAAATCAGGTGCACTGTACAACGTACAAGGGACATAAACTTACAGCAAACAGGGTGAGAATATATGCTCCAGCTGTCACCCCCATACACATTACCGCACCAAGTCTGGAAAAGGGATAAAACTTATCAGCTGGCTTTATTTATTCTTTTACAGATTAGAAAATTATGGTAATACACTAATACAAAAGGAAAAGACATTTTGTGGCCTTTCTGATTGAAGTATCTGTGTGTATTAAATCTTCCCCAAGAAAACAAACCAGCAGATTTACTGGCTGACAGAAAATTGCTGTGCGAAAGCGCCCAAAGGAAAAGAGAGTTCAACAATTTGCAAATTCCCCATAATCCAACAATCATCATGCAGAAGAGAGCTTATAATACACCACTTACCCAAAATAATCGAGAACCCCAGCAACCTGATCTGCCAATTCATCAACAGATAGCACTGGTTCATCAGGGCTCATTACAGCAGCTCCCAACTGCAACAACTCTTGAAGAAAGTACCAGATAAGAAATAATGTAAATAATAGCATGTAAGCAAATTAAAACACAAAAAAAAAGAATGGCACAACTAAGATCAGCTGTCAAGTTACTCAGTACAGACCTCGTGCCCGGGCGGACTAATATGGTAAATGCAGAAGTTATGGAGCAGCAAAGAAAATGCTTCTGGAACAAAGAACAATCCTTGGAAACAAGACAAATCTGCTCAATCATGCACACAATGACAAAATAGAAGTTAGATTCCGATATAACTATGAAGTTCAGGATGAAAAAAACCAGGGTTCAGATTAGTAAAACCAAACTGATTCACACTTGCACAATTTGTTTAACAGAACTTTTTTTTTTAATAAGTACAAATTTTCCATTCGATTATTCCAGCTAATTTTCCTGTTCAGTTCTGATAACATAAGCTACAGCTTGCTCACAAGTAAAGCGGCAATAAATACATATTGACTTCATCAATAAGTTGTGTAGTCAAAGATCAATGTAGTAATAAGAGATAAGTTACTGGATTTACTTACGATTTAAAGCTAAATCAGGATAAGTAATCAGAGCTGGCTTGTCCTGGTCTCCAAATACAGCAACGGAGACAGAACCATAACCAGTTTTTATTAGAAGCTCCTGAAAGCAGATTACAGACAGCATTTAGTCAAATAACTAAAAGGATTGAAAGTTATGTAAGAGAACATAGCATATGAACTCTGCTAATAAGTAGGTCGATGCCTTTTGGGTGCCATTTTCTGTAAAAAGAGGAACAGTTTGGGCATACCCAAGTTAAGCATCTTTTGCTTCCAGATGGAGTTATCCATGTGCAGTGGTCCCTAAATAATAAACCAAACTCCTTTGCTCATATCAACTTCTTAGCTCTCATCAATGAATGTAATGCGTGAGTTATTGACTTCAGACGACCCATGAAGTCCAACCACACATTAAAAAACAATAAAGAGCCTCTACATTTCTCCGTAATTATTGGAAAAATAACAGAATCTAATTGCCTGAAATCTTTAGTAATCTCAATGCTTCTCAACTGGATAATTGTAGCTCACGTACAAAAGTCACTCGAGAAACTAAAGATTCGTCAACAGAACTCCATAAAATTTACAACCAAGCCTAATGTTTCAAATCCATAATTATTATTGAATCGAAACAATACTCTACCCTGAATATGGAACTCCACACAAGAACCAGGCATTCAAGCTGTAATGGTCTTTATACTAGGAACTAAATTAAAAGTTGGTAAGAAAAGGACAATTTATTCCAATAGAAATTAATTCACAAACCTTCAAAATCAATAAAAGAAACATATATCAACAAGTATATACAAGATAAGATATAGATTTCAATCAAGGATGTGTTACCAAATGCAATCAAACAAACTTGAAATTTAAGATTTTCAAGAGTGCCACGGAACAGTCAACAGCCATATGTGATCATAATCTAATCAACAAATGAAGAAAATGCAACAAATTGCTGGTAAATTAAGCTCCTTTTAACTCAAAACATTCAACAATATCAAAAAAAAACATTAAAGACGCCATCACTACTCAACTTCTAAAATCTTCACAATCTCAATCTCAAAGAACCATATACCAAAAGATTCAGAAATTACATTCACGCCAGGAAAACTCAAACCAGAGACTTTTCAAGATATTCCTAAAGAAAACAAACAAATATACACTAATGTAGCTCACACACTGCACACATGCACACATAAATATGTATTATAATTTCTAACCTTCCCGCCAAGAGGAATCGTCTCCATATCTACGGAAACCGAGTCGCTTGAATCTCCCATTGGCCGCAACTCTCTCTCAATCTCTCTCTCTCCCCCTCTCCCTCTACCTCTATCAAAAGTCTCTCTCTCTCTCTCTCTCTCTCTCTCTCTCTCTCTCTCAAATTCGAGGCACATTGGATTTAGCTTCCATGGCTTATATACGAATTTACGTCTCTTTCTCTCTCTAATTTATCATTTTGTAGTTGTGCGTGTATTTCTGTATCTCTCGCTCTCTCTCTCTAACTTTAACCCGAGGTTTTAACGTTCACCTGAGTCACCGACGCTGGGTTTCGGGGGCTCACGAGTCGTCCGTACTGAAAAATGTAACCCCAAGGTCAAGACCCTGGTTAGCATTCAACCAGGGTTAGGGACCGACAGTATTAGAGCTACAAAATTACGAAAATGTCCTTCTCTATCCCAATCCTTGGACAATGACACTGGCCAATGATACATCTCCACCCCTCAAATTCAAAATGTGCAAGAGGATGGTGTAGTGTTTGAGATTGTTTTCCTCGTTGCGTTATGAGTTTTGAACTGAATCACATCTCGTGCCATGAAGATACTATGACCCAGTTTATGGCATGAATTAGGTTGGCTCATGGGTCATTTCTGGACCGGGTTGCAAGTCATTCTGGGTTTGCTTAATTTTTATTTTTCTTTTGGCTAAACGGTCAAAAATATTTGAGTCAATTTATGCGTAATTTAATTAATTTTTTCTTCGATCAAGTTAAAAATAAATTATTCACGCTGAGACCTGAGAATTAATGAGAGATAAATTTTTCACAGTCAATTCTCTCGATAAATGTGATTCGTACAAATATTTTAAGTGTACGGTTGTCGAAAAATCACCTTGGTAAATTAATTGTCCAATGTCAAAAACATGTTACACAATTGAAAATGATGGGATTAGCTAGCTGTCTCCTAAACAAAGATTACAAAGTACTTTTTGTTTAGGAATATATGCCAATTCCTTTGACTAATCAAAGGTACAATTTTACACCTTGCGGTGGGATCCGCTGGCTGGCATGGATTCACATGGTCAATCGAGGGGAGACATCAATATGGTTATGTAAGACCATATGATTTAATTCCAATATGGTCCATTTGGCAAATAAAGTTTTTTTCTTTTTTTTTTGCACTCCTCCAATGGTACTTTGACCAAGTTTTGAGTTTGGCTCCAATGCCGATGCAATGTTCCAGTCCCATGATGAATCATGTGATTGATTAAGAATGTGATTCTATCGTCTCGTGTTTATTATTTGTGTGATTATGTTTAGGCAAACAAATAATTATGCTGGATTTTAGATGATCCCGACTCTAATCTGATTGAGTGCTTAAGTTATAATATTTTTATCCGCTACATTTGAGGCTACGCCAAGTTAATTGAGGAAAAAAATGAGATTATAACAAATAAAATGCACTAAATATTTCTATATATTTCAAAATCTATCATTGATTTATCAGTATGATATGTGTTGCTATTGTAATTAATGCACAATAAATGATCAGATTTTTGCAAATGGAAAATTTTCAATTAAGGGAAATTTGCATATTGAGTATGCACATTAAATTATAGTACCTACCCATAAGCATCTATATATTGTGGGGGTATTGGGTAACCTCAGCATATGAACAATTATATATTTTCATGTTTAAGTTACGATGATTAGCCGTTGAATTCAAAAGAGTAGTCGACACAAGCCTAAATACCATGTAGTAAAAAAAAATTATATCTTTCCATTTCATGGACATCTTCATCCTTGAAAATGATAAGGTTCAATAAAAAAAAAAAGCACCAATAGCATATGCTTTTTAATTGAGGTAACAAATGATAAATTAATATTACTTAGAACATAAGTCCATTTCCCTTTAGAAAATACTTTGCATCTTAAATTTTAGATCTCAAATGAATAAGGATCCTTGGAGGGGATCCGTTGAAAAAAGTTAACGGGACACACTGATCTAAAACTCTCTAGTAATTTGGAATACAAGTTAAGATCCCCAACATTGCTCTTTTCTTTTTTTCTATTTTTCCTTTTGCTGATAATGCTCGTGTTTTTCATACAACTCCATAATATAAACCCAAAAAAATTGAATTTTTTTTGAGCCATAATTCAAGCGATTTTTAATGAGTTTTCTCTTAGAAATATTTAATCTTGTAAATTATATAAATTATGTTTACACTAACTAACATTTTCTTCTTTCTTCTTTTACATTTTTTTTTCTATGATTGGGGATCAACAAGGGGAATCAAACATTCATTAAGGTGACCTACACCAATTAATTATGCACACCAACCATGCTGCAAAGTGGTTAGTATGTATCACCTCTAAATTGGGTTGAATGATGCTATCAAATCTATTAATTTTTGGATTTGAATTTATTATATTGAAGAATGTGAAAAATGTTATGAATTTATTATATTGAATTTATTATATATATATATACATGGAAAATTACACATTGACCCTCTCAGCTATGACTCTTTTTTCATATTACACCCTCAACTATCATATTTTTTACATTGCACTTTTAACTATGTGATTAGTTTAATATTTATTGAAAATTTATTTTATTTTGCCACCTGAAATATATAATTTTTTTCACTTTGTCCTGACACGTCAGCTATTTCCGTTCAGAAAAATAACGAACGTTTGTGATTGAGACAATGTGAAATAATTAAAGTAATTGAGAGGGTAATGTGAAAAATTCAATATTTCCGTCAAAAAAGATAAGGAACGTTTGTGATTGAGGCAATGTGAAATAATTAAAGTAATTGAGGGTAATGTAAAAAATTCAATAGTTTTCGGGATATAGTGAAATCGATTTCATAGTTTAGAGGGTTAAAGTATAATTTAATCATATATTTATATTTATAAATATAGTACATATTTTGGATGAATTTTGAAGATGGGCAGTTGCTTTTAAGCCACAGGAGGTCTTAGTTGAGATATCATGGAGTTTGGAATTAAGAGGGGGCCACCACATGCAGATGCATCATTGTCCAAACTTTGGTATCTGTCATTACCATTCACCAGATAGCTTTCTCACAAGTCTCCATTTCTAATGTCCATCCATTTCAGTAAAAAAAAACCTCTCTTTTTCTGTTGTCCATCTCAGTAAAAACATGTATTAAATACAAAGAAAACAGTCTCTACCAGTAGTCATTTCTCTTCTTTTTTTTTTTTCCTCTTTCTTTTTTAAGTCGATTGGTCACTATCACAATGAATAATAATCAATTATTATAATTTTTTTATAATGCGTGAAAAAATACGTGGAAAGGGATGAATTGAAAGTCCAAAATTAGGTGTAACATAACTCTCAAAGAGGGAACATAAGAATCAAATCTTTGTTTTTGACAAGTATTATTATTCTTTTGATTTCTGAACCATGACAAAATCATGGTAGCCAATCAATCTTTGGGGAGTAAGATTGTCTACAAGTTATCTTTGTTAAGGAGAATACTATTTGTACTTAATTTAGAGACCTAATCAGTTACACCTATTGAATTCAAAGTGAGTTTTATCTAATCTTTATAGGTGGTATAGTAGTCAAGTTTGCCCTCTTGCAAACAAGAAATCTCAGATTCGATACTTTTCACACCCTTTAATGGTCAATCATCTTTATTTCTTAGGAAAAATGTCCTTAAACTAACTTGAGAGAATAGTCGACACAATGCTGGATGCCCTGTAGCAAAAAGAAAAAATGAATTATGTCTAATATTGTAACTCAGAACTAATTCAATAACTACATTGAATTAAATTTCCAAATTAAGTCCCCGATCCATAAAATTGTTTTCACTACAGTGACTGAGTTAGTAACCAATAACAAGGAGGGCAATTACATAATCCATTCATAAAGCCTTTCCAAAGATAAAAATAGCAAATGTACTTTGGTCAACTAGTGAGGTGAGGGTTATTTTAGAGTAGATGTCAAAGTTCCAATGTCATTGTCCATTAAAAGTAGAGAAAACAATGACATTATAACATCCCACTTGCAAGAATCTTAACAATTCCTACAGCTTTGAAAAAAATAACCAAAAAAAATTGAATTGAGCTTAGACTTTCAATAAATTGGTTTTTAGCCTTTTAGTTATTTATATTTTTCGTATTCGAGTTTTTTTTTTTTTTTTTTGGGTGTGTGTGTAACTCAAAGACTAGAACTATTGGGGTTTTTTTTTTTTTTTCACATTGTTGAAGTAATAAAGAAGATGACATATTCACATAAAAGTCCATAGCTTCTATTTTAATCCAAAGTTCAAATCTAGGAATGTTTGACCTAGAACTTACTATACATCATTAGATGGAATGTTCATCAACCATTTATTCTTGTCAACCTAAACAAGACATCATTTATAAAAATAAAATAAAAAATGTAAAGATCTAATTATATCACAACATATGTGATTTGACTAATTAAATAGAAAGAACAATAAGTGACTAATATTCAACATTAACTTAAAATGACATGAACTAACTTGAGTGACGTATGATCCAAATCCTTCCAATACTTTTTTTTATTATTCTTTTTTTCTCTTTGGTAAATCACTTACCATGTATTACTTAGGGATCCGCTTATATGCAATAAATATTACATAAACTCATGATCGATAATCTATCAAAAAAGAAAAATTAAAAAATATATATTTACTGAAAAATACATTAATAGGCGTCTTTGTTTCGCTCTTTTGCATTGACTTAGTGAAATTTAGGTTCCATAGTGAAATTTAGGTAAATTCAAACTTAAGAGCATCTCTAACAATGCTCTTTATTTTAAAAAAATATAGAGAAAATCTTTGATGAAAGTTAGAATAAAAAGAAAAAAAAAATTAACAACTCCAATAGAACTCTATTTTAGTATAAAAATAACTTTTATAGTCAAAACATTTAATAATATATATATACACTAGTTACTGTCTGTGTCTGAAGACAGAGAGTAATAAAAAATGGTGAATAATAAATATATTTGTATTTATATTCAAATCAAATCACAAACATAGAAAAAAGATAAATGAATTTAAA